AACACCGATTTATCAGCGCTACGCCCTATTTAGCTCCGATTTACAAACGATAAAAACCAAAAGCATTTCAGCATTTAATCATCGACCCATTCCGTTTGAGTTTGCTTTCTGTCACCGATGGCCGTTTACACAGAAAACTTAAAATAAAATCACGCATGACAACCGATCATAGCAGCGAGTAAATTTAAAATTAAATGACCGATTGGGGACCGACCGTCTGTGTAACTGGGCCCTAACTGTATACATGTAAATTTGTGAGTCTCTTATAGGAAAGACTCGCCATGTCTTTGGTGCATCTTAAAATAAGTGTCTATTATTATAATTATTATTATTATTATTTATATTATTATTACTGAATTAACTAGAAATGTGTCCATAGGACACGGTGCCCCCACCGCCCCCACTGTTCTATCAATCTTTTTATTAAATCAAAGGAAATAACTCTACAAATACTGGATAAATCCACAAGCGAAACCCCAGGTGCAAATCTAAAATATGCTGAGCAACCTACCCATAAGGTTTAATGACTATGTCAAATCCTTTTAGAGAAACCTGCGACTTAAGTTGAAAATTGCAAAAAATTTCTAAGTGAAGGGTAATAACTCTAAAAATACTAAATAAATCCAGACGAAAATACCTGGTACACAACTGCACATGCTGATCAATATTCCTGTAAAGTGACATGACTCTAGGTCAAATACTTTTTGAGTTACGTGTGACACATGTTGAAAATTGCAAAATTTTACTAACTCAAGGGCAATAACTCTGAAAATACTAAGAATATCCACACGAAAATACCCAGGTGCACAACTACACATGCTGATCAACATTCCTGTAAAGTTTCATGACTCTAGGTCAAATACTTTTTGAGTTACGTGCGACACATGTTGAAAATTGCCAAATTTTACTAACTCAAGGGCAATAACTCTGAAAATACTAAAAATATCCAAAAGAAGATACCCAGGTGCACAACTTTACATGATGATCAACATTCCTGTAAAGTTTCATGACTCTAGGTCAAATACTTTTTGAGTTACGTGTGACACAAGTTGAAAATTGCCAAATTTTACTAACTCAAGGGCAATAACTCTAAAAATACTAAGAATATCCACACGAAAATACCCAGGTGCACAACTACACATGCTGATCAACATTCCTGTAAAGTTTCATGACTCTAGGTCAAATACTTTTTGAGTTATGTGCGACACAAGTTGAAAATTGCAAAATTTAACTAAGTCAAGGGCAATAACTCTAAAAATACTAAAAATATCCAGACGAAAATACCCAGGTGCACAACTACACATGCTGATCAACATTCCTGTAAAGTTTCATGACTCTAGGTCAAATACTTTTTGAGTTACGTGCGACACAAGTTGAAAATTGCAAAATTTTACTAAGTCAAGGGCAATAACTCTGAAAATACAAAGAATATCCAGACTAAAATACCCAGGTGCACAACTACATATGCTGATCAACATTCCTGTAAAGTTTCATGACTCTAGGTCAAATACTTTTTGAGTTACATGCGACACAAGTTGAAAATTGCAAAATTTTCTAAGTCAAGGGCAATAACTCTGAAAATGCCAAAAAATATCCAGACCAAAATACCCAGGTGCACAACTACACATGCTGATCAACATTCCTGTAAAGTTTCATGACTCTAGGTCAAATACTTTTTGAGTTACGTGTGACACAAATTGAAAATTGCCAAATTTTACTAAATCAAGGGCAATAACTCTAAAAATACTAAAAATATCCAGACAAAAATACCCAGGTGCACAACTACCCATGCTGATCAACATTCCTGTAAAGTTTCATGACTCTAGGTCAAATACTTTTTGAGTTACGTGCGACACAAGTTGAAAATTGCAAAATTTTACTAAGTCAAGGGCAATAACTCTGAAAATACTAAAAATATCCAGACGAAAATACCCAGGTGCACAACTACACATGCTGATCAACATTCCTGTAAAGTTTCATGACTCTTGGTCAAATACTTTTCGAGTTACGTGCGACACAAAAGTGAACGGACGGACGGACGGAAGGACGGACAGAAGGACGGACGGAAGGACGGACGGACTGACGGACGGACAAGGGTAAATCTAAATGCCCGCCACTAACGTGGGGGCACAAAAATAAAAATAAAACTATGGTTGGCAGACACAGACCCAGGTCATTTTACCGGAAGGGGGTTTCAAAATTGTGACAAGTGGAAATGCATAATTCAGACAGAGTTTGGCATTTTCCTAGTTTTCCATAGTCACATTTTCGCGCGATTTCCACTCATTTTTAGGTGATTTTCACAAAACATATTACATCACCATAGAGCAGTAATGCTCTAACTTCTTATTTAATGATTTTACAGAAGTTAACCAGTTACTGCACTAAGGTGACATTAAGTCCAAACCTGGGAGGGTTTCCACATACAATATGAAATCTAAAAAAGATGGTAGTGGAGAGATGGATTGACCAGAGACTAGGTTATTAAGACTGAATCAGGTACATTGAAGCACCAACTATGATCATAACTTTTTAATTTAGATGGATGTTTCCTGAGTTTCAAATTTAACTTCATACAACTATTTATCCCATAAACCGTAGCGCAGGAGTGTAATACAGCCATTTAACAAAAACGATATTACACTAGTGTAATAACACTTTGACGTGACGTCATTTGCGTTATATATACACATAGCGTAAAAGCGCACTAATAAGAGATTAATACACGGCAAAGTAGGGCAGGAAGGTGTTAATAGGCCCGCAAAATGAATAATGGCCCGAGGGCCGATTATCACCTTCCGGCCCTACTCTGCCGTGTATTAATGTCTTTAATATACTTGGTAGATCTAATAATAGAGTTTTTCTAAAAAAAATACTTTGAAATTTCTTTCGTTGAAATTCCTGTCTGCATTTCTACCGTACATTACAGTACAGTACAGTAACTTCCATAGAGTTGTTTACTTTTTGTATGTTCAAAGTACACTAGACTACTGTAGAATCTGTATTTCGTTTTTTCAGGATGAATTTGTCGTATTATTTCTTTAAATTACAATAGTAATAAATAGTGTACAAAATACGCTTAAGCTCTCATAATAAAATCAAGCGATTCATACTTAAAACCTACTTTCACTTTTTACAGTTAACTGTTTGATGACGTAAAATGTGACGTCATTGTTTCAGTTTGTGTACGTGCACAGTCATGTTCAGCTGGCTGATAACCAGTTCTCGGCCCCGGGCCACAAACTCATAATAAGTCACATGACACTCATAATCAGTTGATATCATAGGCGATTTTGTTACTATATATAGTAACAAGTGTATTAATGTTAGCCTTACACTATAGGCGTGTCAATGAAAAATGAGCCTTTTTAACAGTTAACCATTCTTATTTTAGATATATAATACAGTCTAACTTGCCCATGCGACCACGTGTATTAAGCGACTTTTGTCTTAAACGACCACTTTAAATTCCCCCCGATCATTTTCTCTCTATATCTTTAATGTATTAAGCGACTTTTGCTCAACGCGACCAGCGACCGCTAATTAGTCACCTTATTGACATCAATCTTTTCATTAAACGACCACTTTTACCTGTCAAGTAATTGTGTTTTTAGAGAACGCCACCTCGTTATGTCACAAGTGTCAGCAATCAAAACACAACAATAAACGTGTGAAAAACTCTATTTCCCATACAGTTTTAGCGTATGCAAATGAAGTTAAGTATACGCGTGACGTGTATTATCCAATAATATCGGATTAACAATGCAACGCTCCGCCCATACTGAGATGGTGTATACGCTTCGCTTGTTGACATTTAGACTGCATTGAATTGACCTTGAACTTGATCAGCCATTAAATTAATCGTAACAAATAGATGTAGTTTGTTTATTTCAAATGAAAAATGCACGACAGAAAACATCTTCACTAATAGGGTTTTCGTGTTAGAGACAAGGAAAAACAACGGAGAAGTTAAAAAAATTCTGGAAAAAATGTCAAACATGTACGTAATGGATCAAAACTGTTTTGTCAATAAATATCAGAACGTTATTTTTACATTTGCATCCGTTTAGATTATCGAAGCGTACTTATTATTCAACATTTATATAAAAATGAAGTTGAAAAACAATCCCATCGAATAAAAAAGATGTCATTTATAAATTTTGACTTTTATATCATGCTGACTGTCTTAAGAGACCGTTTCATTAAGCGACCGTTTTTGGTGTTTCCCTTGCCCGGTCGCTTAATACACGTTTGACTGTAAATATAATATTATATTCGTGTAGATTCGATACTTAATTTATTGAACTTGTTGAATAAAACAATATTATGCTTGCCAGAGGCTCGCATAATATGATGTCATTCAACTCGTTCCATGAATTTAGTATTAAACCTACGCTCCTTCAATATCCTCTATAAATTATATATCTGCTAAATTACATGGGTCATACCTATATTTAGCTGGCTTTCACAAAATTGTGAAGGGTAAAAACATGAAAAGTAGATTAGACTGGCATGGTTTGTTTTATTGTTCTTTAACACCTATTTTAACACATTATTTGGTCATATCTTGGTGGACAGATTTTGATCAAACTTATAATTCACTATTCAGTCAGTACATATTTTGAATTTTTTCCCTAAGTGAACGATAGTTTTGTCCAGATTGAAAATGGACAAGTCTTATGAAGATATTGAATGTGGTTGGGGTTAATAATCAGATGTTTATGATACCAATCATGTAACCAACCATCTATTTCAAAATCTATGACCAACTAATCTTATTTTTCACTCACAAATTGTTAAGTTTAATTGTAATGGATTCTTAAAAATATGCAAATAATGGCTATATGACAAAGAACACATAAAAATAATAGAATAATTTTTTTATTTGATAAAAAAGCCCTCGCAAATCATCTTTGTAATTCTTTATAGATATATTAATGTTATGTTTATATTCAAAACTTAGCGTAAACATTTGTTGAAACAACCGCACAAAGTCTAAGCTAGTTTGATAAGTTACAAGCTGCATTAAAAAAACATGGAATAAACTTTTACATTGAAATACCCTATAGTTTAAACTTTGGTCAAGTACTTTCTGCAGGCTATTCAGATAGGAATAGTTTTATTCCAGTAATATATCATTGGCGTCCGCGCCAAAGCGCGGCGCTCTTATGGAATGAGATCAGATTTTGTGAAAGGGCGACAGCAACTTCTCGAGCCTTTTAGTCGGTCATAATAAAAGCCGAAAATTCCGATCGGTATGAGTGTGCTTGATTATTAAATAAGAATGAAATGTCGCGATATGTTACAATGAATTTTCGCAATGCAAACATTTACAAATGAAATAACCTTTTCCGTCAATAAATCGCGCTCTTCGGGTTTTTTTATTTATCATTTTTAGTCCACACAGTCCGGTTATCATTCATGGGGTATGTTATTGTTGTACATGTATCCTAGAATGATCAGTTGATGACCTAAAAATTCCAAAAACCTATTTATAGATATATCTTTTTATCACTCCTATCGGTAAATGCCGGTCTCTCCCGGTCTATTTTGACCAGGATTTACTAGTGACCGGCGAATAGTACCACACGTTTATTGTCCGGTCTCTCCCGGTTTTGGAGTAGATGTTTGATATCGTTACAATTAGAAAAAAACAACAATAGCATGTTTCATTTTATCTATATGAGATAAAAACAATAAATATGTACACGGATTTATATGTAATATAAATCCGTGATATGTACAATAATTGAGAAAAAGGTACATTTTTTATGGTATTAAAATGACATTATCAACTTTGAAACATTTTATTTAATTATTCAATTTGTTATCCTGTTTAGTAAAGATGCCGAGGAATTATTCAAAGTTACAAATTAGATTTTATGAATTATTCAATTGATCGATAATTTAAAAAATGATAAAAAAATGCAATGTACATGTACATGGTTTAAGAATAAACAATATTATATATTGAAAGATAAACCATAATTTACTGACTTTTTCCAGTTAAGCTTTGACTTATAATCGTCGGTCAATATGACAATTGAATTCTTAAAAATTTATTTTACAATTTTAATAAAAAAGAGTAGTAAAAACTCAGTATTAAAATAGCACATAAAACACAAAAAAGAATAAAAGAAAACAATATTCATAAAATTTGTATTTTTTTTTAATTAAAATTAATAGATATTACAATTATTGTATAATAAAACAATTACGCTCAAACATGATCAAACATGGTAATATAACCAGTGTCATATTTTTACTAACTTAAAGTGTGAACAGATACCTTAAGGGGGTCTTCGCTAATAGCGATAACATGTACATAATAAGGGACAAATGTGTGGTACGTGTTGATCATGCGTTACACATATGGATTATAAATGATTGCATACATGTATATCCGTTGCTATTAATAACCACGATCATAAAGAAATAACAAGTAATATTCTAATCTCTAGCATGCCAATCAAAGTTCATAATGAACAATGTCTTTCGTCCGCTCATTCATAAGTGGTATACATTTCTGGTAGTTTATAAGAATATCTTCTCATCATATGTGTACTAGTTCATCTTCACTTGCTGCATTTCTTGCTTGGACGCCCTTTGATGCTTTGCATCAATGCTTTTCTTGTACACTTTAATGTTACCAAGATTTTGACCCACATACAATCTGTTTGTATCCTGGCAGTATGTCACACCTACTGGTCCATTTATTCCTTGTTCTCTATCAAGAAGTATCTTCACCTTGGTCAGGTCAGGTGATAATTGATGTATATTGTGTGACCAATATCCACATACAAACACTGCCCCAGACCTATCTACAGTCAATTGATATGGTATTTCCAACTGGTCATCATTGTAAATGGCCTTGACTTTCCCATCAAAAGTTACATGTAAACCTATCACACAGTTCTTCTTAAAGTCAGATACATATATAACTGTGTTGTCTGCACTGATTGTTAAGTTACGTGGATCAACAAACAGACATGTCCCATGCTGATCTTTATCAAATGTTTTCAATACTTTACCAGACATGTCAAGTATCTTCACTGCCGCTGGAAAAGTGTAAGATACTATAAGTTTGTTGTTACTAAAGGCAACGCCACGGCAACATCTTCCTACTTTTATATCTTCATTGTTTGTCACTGTCATATGCTTAGAAAATTTTATCAGTCTTATTATTCTAAGTTCAGGAAATGTGACAGCAACTTTGTTATTGTCAACTTTAGCAACAGCCCAAAGCTCTGAGGAGAGGTCTATTGTATCATATGATGTAGTGCTGACTGATATATCCTTGAATATAATTAGTTTACTAGAATTAAAATTTGTAACCAGAAGACAGTTTTCAGATAATAAGCATAAAGATGACAAGAAGTTAACTGTGAATTTTATATCTGTGTAATAACTTGCAGTTCTTTGTACTTCAGATTCATGTATATCTTGATAGGTGAAAAATTTGTCACAGTCTTGTATATTGGTAATATTTAGTTCAGAAGCTTTGCATTCTACATTGAATTGTCTTTACATTGTTTATCTGCATCTCGTTTCAATTGTTCAATGAATTCTTCACCTTTCTTCATAGCAACAAACAGTTGACATCTTTGATCTGTAGTTTGATGATGCACCAGCTCTGTTGATATGGCTTTTAGTTTTATTTTCATTTTAGAGGTTTTCTCTGTGATTGCCTGCAAAACTGTCTCATCACTCTTTTTTATGATTTCAATTTTCTCCTTTATTTCATTTTCCTCATCATTTAACAACTTTTCTAATTTCCTTTGATTATCTTGTTATTTTTCAATTTTTTCATTTTTCTCTTGTTTAAGTCTTTTTAAAGTTTCTTCAATTTCCTTCTCAAAGTTTTGAATCACTTCTTTCTGATGATTTTCAAACACTGACAATATTTCTTTCTTTTTTTTCATGACTGTATCTAATATCTTTATTTCTTGTGAAACGACATATTTCATGTTTATGTTCACAGGTTTTTCTGTATTTTCCAAATCTTTCATTAACATATCAAGATTTTCATTAAGTTCTTTAATTTCTTGGCAGTTTTCAATGCCTGGAACAAGAGCTGGCAAATGACTGACCATACTACAGTTCCCATGGTCCTGAGTCTTGCATTCATTACAGGCAAATTTCTTACAATCTTGACAATAGAACTTGACCAATTCATCCTGATGAACAGAACATTTCTCTAGACAGAAATCCTGTGGCATTTTATCCTTATCTTTTATAGTGTGTGATTTCATGTATATTTTATGGTATTTTAGACAAATTCCACACAAGTACTCAAAACATTCCTCACAAAATCCCTCAGCAGGAACATATTGCTTGTCATGTTTATCACAAACCTCACAGAACATTTCTTCAACTTCATCAGAGTCCTGTGTAAATGAGGTACTGAAATCACTTCCAACTGAAAATGCCATAATTCAGGTACTTTGATAACCACACACTTGTGTTTTCTTTAAAATAATCTCAACATTTAAAGTAATACCGATATTAAATCATAGTTATCTATGATAACTACAGCATCACATGATAATCCCATGACAAATTTTACACAACGATAACTACAATCTTATCATAAGGTACTCAAATAAGGTCAGTGTTTTGATAATAGTAGTACAAATGTTAAAATGTACATTCCTTGTCAAATGAAATTTATTATGTAATTTGTTATCTTTTTAACCAAGGTTGATAACAATATTGAAGAATATACATTGCTGACTATTCATATGTTTACTATATGAGGCTGAATACAAATCTGAAATGCTCATCAGTCTTTATGATTTACTTACACTTTGTTTAAATCCTCAAGTTAGGAAAATGTTTTTTAATGAATTCATACATTCTTCATCATTTAGACTATTGTTACACTATTTTTATCATTGTACTACATTATATTTCTGGTATTAAGGACGTTTTCACGGGGTTACCATTCTCGTTTTTGAGTTATCTGCCCCTGAATCAGAATTTACTACTTATTTGAGGTCATTTAAAGGGCAGATAACTTATACATACGTAAATGAATTCTTGATTTCACTTCTGGATAATGTTTTTCTTTTTATTGTTGAATAAAAAACATAATTACATGCAATTCCTTATATCATTTCTGTTATTTTTTTTTTCAAAGAAATTCATAAAAAATAGGCCAATTTTTAAGAAACAAGAGGGCCATGATGGCCCTGAGGTCGCTCACCTGTATATAGGCCCCCAGAGCAGGGCCAGTTTAAACCCCAGGGCTTTTATTTGAGCAAACTTGGAAGACACCCATTAGAAGATGTTTCATGATGTTAAGTTTTTACTACACACATATAATGAAAAACAATGACCTCCGCCCCCCCCCCCCCTTTGGCAGGGCCAATTTAAACCCAAGGGCTTTTATTTGGACAAACTTGGTAGACACCAACAAAAAGATGTTTCCTGCTTAAAATCTAACCTCTAGCTCATTGGGTTTTTTAAAAGAAAATTTTTAAAGTTTTTACTATACACATATAGTTAAAAACAATGACACCTCTGGGGCGGGGCCAGTTTTAACCACAGGGCTTTTATTTGAACAAACTTTGTAGACACTTACTAGAAGATGTTTCATTCTTAATATCCAAACTCTAGCTATTTGGGTTTTTTCAAAGAAGATTTTTAAGTTTTTGCCATTTGTTTTTGCTATTTGGGTTCTTTAAAAGAAGATTTTTAAGTTTTTACTATATGCATATAGGGAAAATCAATGACCCCCTGGGGCGGGGCCAATTTTTACCCCAGGGCTTTTATTTGAACAAACTTGGTAGACACTCACTAGAAGATGTTTCATGCCAAATATCTAAGCTCTAGCTCTTTGGGTTTTTTAAAAGAAGATATTTAAAAAATTTTCTTTTGGTTGCCATGGCAACCAGAGTTCTGCATGGAATTAAATTCTTTGAACAATTTTTAAAGGTGACCACCAAAGGAACATTCCTGTGAAGTTTGGATGAAATTGGCTCAGTGGTTTATGAGGAGATGTCATTTAAAGTAAAAGTTTACGGACGGACGACGGACGGACGACGGACGGACGACGGACGGACGACGGACGAAAAGCGATCACAAAAGCTCACCCTGTCACTTTGTGAAAATGCACAGATTAAGAGAAGAAGTGGGGAAAAAAACTATCCACTCTGAAAATGTTCTTGAAATTTTGCATATTGACTAAGACGAAGGTAATCTTCATGAAAATAAGAAGAAAAAAATGTGTTGTTTCGCTTCATTGTAAATTATCTGCCCTTGAATTTAACGAAAAAGTCCAATTCAAGGGCAGATAACTCGAAAATGAGAATGGTGACCCCAATTTTTTTCCGTGTAAAATGTTTCTGTAATCATATTCTATAACATGCCAAGTTTAAAGAAATTCTATTGAACAGCTTTAATTTTGCCTACAATTGTCTATATGAAAACTCTGGAAAATGTCTTTAAATCAATTGAGTAAACCTCCTATCATTTACATCTAATGAGTTATCTGTTGTTCAGGTATTTTATTTCAACATTTAGTTTTCCATATTTTTCAACAAAATGATTTGTATCAGTTGTTCATTTGATCATCTGTCATACTGTATTTGACAAAGTCATATGATAATTTTTTTTTGCTGAAGTTCTTGTGCACAGTACTCACAAAGTTTTGGACATGTTTTATCGCATTTGTGTTTCGACAAGCATTATCAGATAAATGTACAATGTATATCTATATATACATACATGTAAATTTTGTATAACTTTATCACATCAAAAGTACTTGATCATACAGTATGCATTACTACATGTATTTTGATGGTTCATAAAGAGAGCAAATGTCTACATTCAAATAAAAAAGAAAACTAGAAATACGTCTATAGGACATGGGTGCCCCTAACACTCCACTGTTTTGTCAATATACTGACTAGCTTAAATATTTTTTGGGCTACAAGTGACACAAGTTGAAAACTGAAAATCTTAAAATTTACTAAGTCAAGGTAAAAACTGAATAAATCCACAAGCAAACCCCTAGGTCAAGGTGCACAACTACACATGCTGACCAACATTCTTGAAACTTTCAGGACTACAGGTCAAACACTTTTTAAAAAGCAAGTTATGAGCCGGTTGAAATGGAATGTTAGCCTGGGTTCCAGTCTGTCGATTTTTTTTATGTGCTTCTGTTCGGCAAATCGACAGCCTGGGGAAATACAATTTTCGATCGAAGCGCCACCTAGTATACACCCCGAAAATTACGGGTGTTATAAAAGAACGATAACTTTCTAAAAATAGAAACGGAATTTCCACGAAGTGATTCGAAGCTCAATGAACAGTTACGGAGCCTCGCTTTCAAAACACCATTTCCGATTAAAAACTAACACTAGTTGACAAAGGTTATTGCATGATGAGTGAATTTGATTAATAGGTGTGATTATTGAAAGTAGATAAAGTGTGTAAGCATCAGATAATTTTGCTGGACTCAATTTATAATGGTAAATGGCGTCAAATTTTCAACATTTATTATCTTCGCCTCGATTTCGATTTAGTCATGTAATTTGTTGGTCACGTGCTAATCGGTCTATTAATAGGATTATCATTAGTCAATAATTACATGGGAAATCCCGCAGGTTTCCCCAGGCGTTGATACTATCAAAACCAGAGATGTTGTGTTATCTATGACGATCGAGTATGAAATAGCGCGTAAGTTATGAATAAGCAAAAAAAAATATCAACGCCTGAATCCCAGGCTAATGGAATGTAACAGATAATAATATACCATTTCTTAAAATTAAACAAAAAAAATTTGCGTGATACAAAGTTAATCAAATGCTTTTAGTGTCCAAACAATATTTAACTTGCTTTCTATATATATACTACTCAAAATTTGCTAAAGATCACTTTTCTACAATGCTTTACTTTTGTGTATTTGTAATAAATGTGAAAATTGATGAATTCAATATAATTAGTTAGGAATTGGTTTTTATAAAAATAATGACAATGGAATAGTTCTTTGACGTCTGCCTGTTGCGGAAAGAGTGTGTTGGACGAAAATTAACATTTTGGAGATCACAAAGTGGAATAAAAAAAATCTTGAAAGTCAGGAAATGGTTTACATAGGGTGTTAAATACCGAGTAAGGTGTCTGTGGGCATTTATTATGGCCTGGCATCACTGCCGCATGCTGCTAATGAGCCTGTGGACCTTGTGATGAGAAATCTGGGTCCATTCCTCTATAATTGCATGTCTTAGCTTCTGAACTGTTGTTGGTTCATCGTGGCGGGAAGAAATGGCTTTCTACAGCATATCCCAAGTATGCTTTATTGGATTTAAATCTGTGGAATTTGCTGTCCTATCCATACGGACTTTAGTTGCGTCCTCAAGATATCGGAATGTGATGTGGGCACTGTGTGCACGTGCATTGTCATCCATAAGAATGAAATCAGGGCCGACTGCGGCAGCGTACATGGACATCTAAGATATCATTGACATACCTTACTGCCATCAGTGTACTGTTTTCAATGATGTGTAGGTCCGTTTACCCCTGAGCCCTTATTGCCGCTCACACCATGACTGAACCCACGCCAAAAGGGTTGTGTTCTGCAATGCATGCTGGAGCTAAGTGTTCATATGGACTTCTCTAAACCCTAGCCCATCTGCCCGTGAAGTCCACACAAAACCTTGACTCATCATTGAAGAGGACCAGGGTCCAATCATTAACTGTCCATGTGACATGAGTCTGTGCCCATTGCAAACGCTCTTGAATACTGCGTTGTGTCAAAGAAATGCGAATTGCTGGCCTCTGTAACCACAACCCAGCATCATGCAACCTGTTTCTAACAGTTTTTGTGCTTACACGCACACCAGTTGCATTCTGGAAGTCATAACGTAAGGTCGTAGCGCTCGAGAACCGTTGGCACCTGGCCTGAAGGACAATAAATCGTTCCTGGGCTTGAGTAGTTGAATGTTCCCGACCTTAAGCGTGGCCCTACAAGACATTTCCAGTCATTTGGAATCGGTTTCACATCCTGGAGACAACACTCTGGGACTCCACATGAAGATGGGCAACATGCATTTGGTGAACAGCTTGCCTCCAACATTTCAATACCCCTGTTCATCTCATCTTCACTAAGACGACATCTATCCTGTCGATTTGCCATAGTTTGTTAATTTCGAAAACAGTTTTGTAATAAAAAGAGTGAAGTCTCACTGCTTGTACAAGTTTAAGTGAAAGCACATGGCCATTAAACACCAAATTTCCATGGGTGTGCTTTTCCATGTACTTATTAAGCAAGGTGTACATAACATACCGATAACTTAAGTACACGATTATGAGGTCCCTGTACAGATGTATCTTTAGCAGAAATATGATTTTAATATGATAATAGGAAGGAAATATGCAATGTCAAAAAGATGATCCTTAGCAGATTTTGAGTAGTATATATATATATATGACCTGTTTGTAGTTAAGTGGAGTAAATTCAATACATAAAATGAAAAGTTTGACATGCTTAATATTTTAACATCTGGTAAAGGGGTGAATCCTCCGAAACGGAGACAATGATGTTTCTGTCTGTTTGTTTGTTTGTTTCATTTTACGCCTTTTCCCAACAGTATTTCAGTCATATAGGCGGATGATGTTTCTGCTTGAGTTTAGTTGGTATCGTATTTTTATTTCATCACAGTGATAAATCATATATTACTTTGAACTGTTTCCTTTCAACAGACATTTGTGCCATCTAATATGGCCTGCAGTGTTCACTATTCAGTCAGTACATATTTTGAATTTTTTCCCTTTTAAGTGAACAAAAGTTTTGTCCAGATTGAAAATGGACAAGTCTTATGAAGATATTGAATGTGGTTGGGGTTAAAAATCAGATGTTTATGATACCAATCATGTTACCAACCATCTATTTCAAAATCTATGACCAACTAATCTTATTTTTCACTCACAAATTGTTAAGTTTAATTGTAATGGATTCTTAAAAATATGCAAATAATGGCTATATGACAAGGAACACACAAAAATAATAGAATAATTTTTTTATTTGATACAAAAAGCCCTAACAAATCATCTTTATAATATTTTTATAGATATATTAATGTTATGTTTATATTCAAAGCTTAGCGTAAACATTTGTTGAAATAATAACACAAAGTCTGAGCTAGTTTGATCATTTACAAGCTGCATATCTGCAAAGATATTGAGTAAGATTTTATATTGAAATAGTTTTAACTTATGTATTTTCTGCAGGTCATTCAGAGAAAACTAATTTTATTCCAGTGCTTTATCCCAAAGATAAATCATACACTTTTAATGTCACCAAGAGTTTGACACACATACAATCTGTTTTTATTCTGGTAGTATGACACACCTACTGGACATTCTATTCCTTGTTCTCTATCCAGCAGTATCTTCACCTTGGTCAGGTCAGGTGATAATTGATGTATATTGTGTGACCAACATCCACATACAAACACTGCTCCAGACCTATCAACAGTCAGTTGATATGGTTTATTCAGCTGGTCATCCTTGTAAATGGCCTTGACTTTCCCATCAAAGGTTAAACCTATCACACAGTTTTTATTATAGTCAGATACATATATAATTGTGTTGTCTGCACTGACTGTTAAGTAATGAGGATCAACAAACAGACATGTCCCATGCTGATCTTTATCAAATGTTTTCAATACTTTACCAGACATATTAAGTATCTTCACTGTTGCTGGGCTGTTTGTGTAAGATACTATAAGTTTGTTTTTACTATAGGCAACACCACGACAAACTTTTCCTACTTTTATATCTTCAGTGTTGGTTACTCTCATACACTTAGAGAATGTTATCAGTCTTACTGTTCCAAGTTCAGGAAATGTGACAGCAACTTTGTTATTGTCAACTTTAGCAACAGCCCAAGGCTCTGAGGGCAGGTCTGTTGTATCATATGATGAAGTGCTGACTGACAAATCCTTGAATATTATCAGCTTCATAGAATTTAAACAAGTATATAGAAGACAGTTTTCAGATAATAAGCATAAAGATGACAAGGAGTTAACTGTGAATTTTATATCTGTGTAATAACTTGCAGTTCTTTGTACTTCAGATTCATGTATATCTTGATAGGTGAAAAATTTGTCACAGTCTTGTATATTGGTAATATTTTGTTCAGAAGCTTTGCATTCTACTTTGTAATGATGAATTGAATTGTTTTTACATTGTTTATCTGCATCTCGTTTCAATTTTTCAATGACTTCTTCTCCTTTCTTCATAGCAACAAACAGTTGGCACCTATGATCTGTAGTTTGGTGATAGACAAGTTCCGTTGATATGGCTTTTAGTTTTATTTTCATTTTAGAGGTTTCCTCTGTGATTGCCTGCAAAATTTTCACGTCATCCTTTTTTATGATTTCAATTTTCTTCTTTATTTCATTCTCCTCATCATTTAATAACTTTTCTAATTTCCTTTGATTTTCTTGTAATTTGTCAATTTTCTCTTTTTTCTCTTCTTCAAGTCTTTGTAAGGTTTCTTCTATTTTTTTCTCAAAGTTTTGAATTATATCTGTCTGATGTTTTTCAAACACTGACAATATTTCTTTCTTTTTTTTCATGACTGTATCTAATATCTTTGTTTCATATGAAGCAACATATTTCATGTTTATGTTCACATGTTTTTCTGTATGTTCCAAATCTTTCATTAACTTATCAAGATTTTCAGTGAGTTCTTTAATTTCTTGGCTGTTTTCAATTCCTGGAACAAGGACTGGCAAATGGCTGATTATACTACAGTTCCCATGGTCTTGAGTCTTGCATTCAGTACAGGCACATTTCTTACAATCTTGACAATAGAACTTGATCAATTCATCTTGATGAACAGAACATTTCTCCAGACAGAAGTCCTGTGGCATGTTATCCTTATCTTTGATGGTATGGGATTTCATATATATTTTATGGTATTTTAGACAAGTTCCACACAAGTACTCAAAACATTCCTCACAAAATCCCTCAGCAGGAACATATTGATTGTCATGTTTATCACAATGTTCACAAAACATTTCTTGAACTTCATCAGAGTCCTGTGTAAATGAGGTACTGAAATCACTTCCAATAGAAAATGCCATAATTCAGGTACTTAGGTAACCACACACTTGTGTTTTGTTTAACATAATTTCAATATTTAAAGTAATTGCCAATATTAAATCATTATTATCTATCACAACTAGATCATCATATGATCATCCCATAACAAATTTTACACAATCAAAACTATCTTATCATAAGGTAATCAAATAAGGTCAGTGTTTTGATTGTTAAAATGTACATTCATTGCTTCATATAAATTTTTATTATCTTTTCAGGGTGTATCAAACTTGGTTGAAAACAATTTTAAAATAAATAGAAATTGTTTATTATTTCTAATAGGCTGCATATGAATTTGAAATGGTCATCAGTCTTTATAAATAAAAGAAAGATTTACTAAAACTTCAAATTTTCAAGTTAGGGAACTGTTCTTTTATTAATAAAATCTTCCCCATTTAGACTATTGTTGCAATATTTGAGGGAAATTGCAGTAAGAAACTCTAAAATTACACAGTTAAATTTCAAAACTGTAGAGCAAGAATAATATTGGATACAACACATATCAGACTTCACAATCAAACTGAATGATGTTCTCTGAAAGAGTTTATTACAAGAGCCAGTCTCCCTTAATAGGTTTCGGACTTCTTGTTGATATCTCTTGTAGTTTTAGAGTTATGTGCTGGACCAAATTCACAGTGTAAAAATGAAAACAAAGCGCATTAACTCCAAAATTAGGCAAGTCAGAGTTACAGTTCTTTTGCACTGCACTTCTACTAAATGAGATCTATCTACCTACTAAATTTGTTGTGGATATTTTTGTGGTTTCAGAGTTATGTCCTAGACAAAGTTCAAAGAGTAAAAATGAACAAAGGGCAATATCTCCAAAATTGGACAAGGCAGAGTTTAGGTTCTCATGCATTGCACTTCTACTAAATGAGATCCGTCTACCTATAAGGTTTCTTGTTGACACATCTTGTTGTTACTGAGTTATGTCCCAGGCAAAGTTAAAAGTGTAGAAATGAATAAAGGGCAATAACTCCAAAATTAGGCAAGGCTGAGTAACAGTTCTTTTAAATTGCACTTCTAATCAATTAAATCTACCTACCTACAAAGTTTCTTGTTGATACCTATTTAATATTTACTATTTTACATACTTTTTTTAGTAAATAAGTCCCTCCCTCATTATATGCAACACCTTTTTACTAATATAGAAAATATACAACAAAGATCATATAAGCATTGGCAACTTTCAGCCTAAAATCTTTGACTCAAATTCAATAGAAATTTCCTCCTATATATTCAATCAACTCCCTTTCACCAACAAACAAACTTTCATATAAGAGAAAATGCCAAGCCAAGGTCACACTCTACTCTTTTTTTTTCTAAAGTCAAACACACCAGAGAAAGAATAATTATCATAGTAAAGACTACTCCTACAAAACATAATTTTCTGGTAAAAAATAAAATTCAAATTTCATATTTGACCTTGACAGCCAAGGCCATTGCAAAGTGAAGGTCACAATTGAATTAATCATCATGTTTATTTTGTCATAAGTGCTCTTGTCTAAGAAAAAATCAAATCCATAAATAAATAACAAAATTATGACAATAATGAAAATTAAAAAAATTCAATAATTTGGCAGTAAAGGTCAATCAAAGGTCAAGGTCATCTAAGTATTTTTCAACAAATCAGTTTTGTCACATATGGTCTTTGTCCAAGTATGAATCAAATCTGTAAATAATCAATAACATAAAAACAAAGGTGTGGCAAGCAAATTTCAATAATCTGTCCTTGACTGTCAAAGTCAATTAAAGGTCAAGGTCATACTTGAATAATTCAACATAGTCATGGTATCTGGAGTTGTTGCAGCCCTAACAATCTAACTAGCATTTACTGCCATTTATTGAATCTATTGAACATTGTCTCAGCTAAAATTTATTTATTTAAACATTTGAATAGAGGAACCGGTCTCGAGCTATCAAAACTGAAAAATAATAAAGAATAATAAAAGAAAAGATTGTTGTCCTGGCTTGTCAAGTCATTAGAAATGTTGAATCTCCCGAAGATATTTTCTTTTCAGTCATATAGCTTATTGAGGATCAACACTACTAACACACATTATGGATATGCTCTCCAATTATTTGATCTATTCCTAAACCTGCCAAATTATTAACAAATTTAACATGAATTTTCCTACTTAGCTTAAATCCTGAAATAATGAAACAAACTAACATCTATTTTCCTGTTTAGAGTACCATAATCTGACAAATTTATATAATAAACATGTACATGGTGTGCATAATAAAGTGTACATGATGTACACAAGAGCGCAGGAGTGTTATAAAGCCATTTAATAGAAACGATATTACACTAGTGTAATAACACTTTGACGTGAAGTCATTTGCGCTATATATAAACATAGTGTTAAAGCGCGCTAATGTTAGCGTTACACTATAGGCGCGTCGTTGAAAAATTACTCATTGTAACAGTTTACTGTTCTTATTTTATATATGTGATAAAAAGAATATTATATTCATGTAGATTCAATACTAAATTTATTGAACTTGTTGAATAAAACAATATTATGCTCGCATAATATGATTTTATTAAACTCGTACAATAAATTTGGTATTAAACTACACTCATTTAATATCCTCTATATATTAATCTCTGACAATACATATATTGAATTTCTATAAATTTTTTATTTGATTCAAGTGATTTCCTATAGTCATAAATTAATTCATATCCTGTAGGGTCAGTTTACTATATTTCATCAATGTAGAAGCTCTTCACTTTTAAACAACTGCTTCAAGGGAGGTAACCAAATAATAATTAATTATTAGCTTTTAACAATACTGTTTTAAGTTTACCAGTCCTGTTTCTTTCAAATATATACTATTCATGGTGGATGGTGAAGGCTCCAACAATATTGTCTCTTTTGGTTGATTGATTTTTTTTGTTGTTGTTTCGTTTTGTTTTTTAGTTAGTGGGAATTTGAATGCCAAGATAAGAAGTCAAAATGATACATACAAGCAATTTGCACTTAATTTGCTCTTGTTTTCTGTTTTTCTCAGTGTGTTCTGTTTTAAAGTTTATGTGTTTTTTTTGTAGTGCCACATATAAAAAGGTAAATGGCACAGGTACCAACATAAGTAAATAACTATAATCCCTTCATGACCTTGAACTATAATTTGGCTTAAGAATTTACCTTGTGGTATATCATAGCCCTTTTCAAGTCCATGTGGGTTTGATGGTGTGACACAATCTAGGTTTACTTCCTTCCGTAGACACTGGTCAATATCAACAGCACTGAAGAAAGCCACAGTCTGAAAACGCAACATTCTATAAATAACTTTTATGTTATAACAACATCAAATATTAAAATGTATGTGTATCACACATAGAAGATGACATGAGTTGCCATTTTAAACACAAGCCGGTTGAACCGGGTGATGTCTCTGAATAGGTTTTGGATACAGAAAAGTATACTTTTGTAGTTTTAGAGCTATGTCCTAGACAAAGTTCAGAGTGCAATAATTCCAAACTTTGGCAAGGCAGAGTTAGGGTTACCCAATAAGATCTATCTACCTACAAAGTTTCATGTTGATATCTCTTATAGTTTAAGCAAAGTAAAAAAATTAACAAAGGGCAATAATTCCAAAATTGGGCAAGGCAGAGTTACGGTTCTTTAGCACTGCTCATCTACACAATGAGATCTATATACCTACAAAGTATCATGTTGATACCTTTTGTTGTTTCTGAGTTATGTCCTGTACAAGAAAAGCGAATGGATGGACAGACAAAGGGGCGACTAAATGCTAATCATATGCTCACCTTTCGTGTAGCATAAAACGAAACCAGGTTTAGAAAATATCATAAAGTAAGTGTAATATTATTTGTAAATGTTTCGATGAAACATCAATAATTGTCAGATTCTTTCATCACATGATCAGAACAAGTATCTGTGTGTTTACATTTAAATAACATTAATATAAAGGGGGCGTCCTTGGCAGAGTTGTATAGGTCATTAACTTCAAACCACTTGCCCCTTACAGCTGTGGGTTCGAATCCGGACAGGGAGTTTGGATTCTTTCATATGAGGAAGCTATCCAACAAGCTTATAGAGGTGCCCGTTTTTGCCTGAAATAATACACAGAGGAGCACCTGAGCTTCTTCACGATCTTTTTAGGGCTCTAAGAAGCCCTTAGCCTTCTCTGTGCCTGACTCGGACCTCTGTATGAAAATAGCCATTATGATAGAACGACATGTATTATCGGGAGAAAAGGCGTTATAAAATGTAATGAATGTAATGTAATGAAGATAGCTCATGGGAAGGCTTGCACCAGTGTGCATATGCCGGAACAGAGCTTTCAGACATAATAAAGTGAAAGATTGTTCTAGGGATGGCAGAAACAGTGAGAATTTGTCTGTCTATGCAATAACCTAACATTCGGAAACTTAAATAATGAAGATAGCACATGTGAAGGCTTGCACCGGTGTGCATATGCCGGAACAAAGCTTTCGGACATAATAAAGTGAAAGATTGTAATAGGGATGGCAGAAACAGTGAGTATGTGTCTGTCTATGCAATAACCTAACATTCGGAAACTAAAATATTGAAGATAGCTCATGGGAAGGCTTGCACCTGTGTGCATATGCCAGAACAGAGCTTTCGAAAGTAATAAAGTGAAAGATTGTTATGGGGATGGCATAAACAATGTATGAGAGTGGTCTACGATAGGGCTGCCTCCTTGTGGCGTAGACTGGAAATGTCTCTTTCTATGAAAGAGGCGGCTAACAGCCCTTAATCAACATGATAAATAATTTTTCACCTATTTTTTTGTTTTTTTACATCTGTTTCTTGAACGCAATTCTATCAGATGGCATCCAATCTTAACTAAATTATGCTTAAAATGTGCGTATGGATATTCTGTAAACATTGATGTATGTTTCAATAATATCCAACAAAGAATTTTAAAGCTATACCCGAAAACCTACCCCTCTACCCGGACTTCCGTCATTTTTGAAAAGTTTTAGATTTTTTACCCCTAATTTTTGCATGTAAATAATTTATTGATCATTCGATTCTTTTAAAAATAGTCTTAAAAAGTGCCAATGTTTAATATATTTACTAAATATGAAAAGTTTTTCAATATTATTTTATGAATGGGGTGAATAATTTGAAATATGCTACCCCTGTATCATAATCTTCGCCTATTTTTCGTTTTTTACATCGGTTTCTTGGACGTAATTCTATCAAACGGCATAGTATCTTGACAAAATTAGGCTTAAAATGTGCGTATGGATATTCTGTAAACATTGATGTATGTTTCAATAATATCCAACAAAGAATTTTAAAGCTATACCACGAAAACCTAACCCCCTACCTGGATTTCCGTCTTTTTTTAAGAGTTTGAGAATTTTTACCCCTAACTTTTGCTTGTAAATAATTTATTTTTCATTTGATTCCTTTGAAAATAGTCTTAAAACGTGCCCATGTTTAATATATTTACGTTTATGAAAAGGTTTTTAATATTATTTTATGAACCTGAGGTTTTCCTCCACCAGTAAAGCTGGAAAGTCACCATATCACCTCCACTGTAATGGTGCGATCATAAACACAAGCAAAATAAGAGGGCCATGATGGCCCTGAAATCGCTCACCTGTATATAGGCCCCAGGGGCGGGGCCAATTTTAACCCAGGGGCTTTTAATTGAACAAACTTGGCAGACACCCATTTGAAGATGTTTCATGATAAATATCTAAGCTCTAGCTCTAAGAAAATTTTTAAGTTTTTACTATACATATACATGTATAGTGAAAAACAATGACCCCCCTTCTAGGCGGGCCAATTTTGTCCCCAGGGCTTTTATTTTAACAAACTTGGTAGACACTCACTAGAAGATAATTCATGCTTAATATCTAAACTCTAGCTCTTTGGGTTTTTGAACAGAAGATTTTTTAAGTTTTTACTATATACATATAAGAAAAATCAATGATCCCCGGGGCGGGGCCAATTTTAACCCAGGGGCCCTTAATTTAACAAAAATGGTAGACATCCCATTAGAAGATGTTTCATGCTAAATATCTAAGCTCTAGCTCTTAAGATTTTTTAAAAGAAGATTTTTTAAGTTTTAACTATATACATAAAAGCAAAAACAATGACCCCCTGGCGCAGGGTCAATTTTGACCCCCCCATGGCTTTTATTTGAACAAACTTGGTAGACACCTACTAGAAGAGGTTTCGTGTTTAATAGCTAAACTCTAGCTCTTTGGGTTCTTTAAAAGAAGATTTTAAAGTTTTTACTAAATGCATATAGGGAAAATCAATGACCCCCTGGGGGCGGGGCCAATTTTGTCCCCAGGACTTTTATATGAACAAACTTGGTAGACACCCACTAGAAGATGTTTCATGCTTAATAGCTTAGCTCTAGCTCTTTGGGTTTTTTAAAAGAAGATTTTTTAAGTTTTTACTATATGCATATAGGGAAAATCAATGACCCCTGGGGCGGAGCCAATTTTGACCCAAGGGCTTTTATTTGAACAAACTTGGTAGACAACCATTAGAAGATGTTTCATGCTAAATATCTTAGATCTAGCTCTTTGTGTTCTTTAAAAGAAGATTTTTTAAGGTTTTACTATATGCATATAGGGAAAATCAATGACCCCCTGGGGCGGGGCCAATTTTGACCCCAGGGCTTTTATTTGAACAAACATGGTAGACACTCACTAGAAGATGTTTCATGCCAAATATCTAAGCTCTAACTCTTTGGGTTTTTTAAAAGAAGATGTTTTAAGTTTTTTCTTTGGGTTACCATGGCAACCAGAGTTCTGCATGGAATTAAATTCTTTGAACAATTTTTAAAGGTGACCACCAAAGGAACATTCCTGTAAGGTTTGGATGAAATTGGCCTAGTGGTTTATGAGGAGATGTCATTTAAAGTAAAAGTTTACGGACGACGGACAGACGGACGATGGCCGGACGCAGGACGAAAAGCGATCACAAAAGCACACCCTGTCACTTTGTGACAGGTGAGCTAAAAAACAAAACATTAATCTAAACTGCTAAAATGAAGTAAAAGATAAAAATGAATAGACAAATCATAATACATGCTTACTAAAGGCAGATCCTTAAGACCAAGTTTGTATGCAAATATTGAACGCGTTAGTAGATTGGTGATCTGTAGAGCTAGAGCTGCTCTGTAACAATCCTCCTCAGCCACCAGGTATCTGGAACAAAAAATTATATTCTGCAAATTACTCATCCAGTCTTAACTAATGCAATTTAATAGTATTTATGTTGTTTTAATTAGGAAATAGATATCAATTCTGAGTGCATTGTTCTAGAATAATGCACGGTTTGAGTTCAAATGCGTAGTAATATAATCACGAAGGCCATTAGGCCTGAGTGATTAATTACAAAGCATTTGAACGAAAAACGTGCATTATTATACAATAATGCACGAAGAATTGATATCTATTTCCATTCTAACACGTCAAGAAAAAATATAATTATTATTATAAAGTTGGACTTTATTTTTGGTGGTTAAATTTGTTTTCGCCTCAGAGTTTCCAATAGAAACGTTCTTTAATGGCCGTTCCAGTGGGTTGAAAAAAACTGTCGTTAAATCTACCGTGTGTAGAAACATTTTGAGAATAACGAATTTTGAAAACATTGATAAAACTTTCTTTATTTATTTTATTTCAGTCTATAATTTTCCAAGCGAAATACAAATTATTAAAAGTGAAATATATGTAAAACTTGACTCGTTTGCGACATTAAAATAGCGTACTTGATTTGATTGTTTTGCATGTGCTGTTTGGCGCTACATTGTGACGTCACGTAAACAACACTTTAAACGTCTGTACAGTGTTAACGACTGAATTAAAGATATTAGTGTTCGGATTCATTTTCTTAGTTAGACCATTTTCTTTCATTCTAGATAGTTTTCACAACAAAATTCGACAAAAAATTGTTTTGTTTATCAGATTTTTCAAACAAAATGGCGCCGTCAATGTGAAAATACACAGGGAGATAATAAGAACGGCGAGTGCATTGTTGTAGAATAATGCATGCTTCGGGCCTTCTTTGTTTATATGGAAAAAATTCCGATAGTGTTAGAATACATTTTTTGGTCATATCTTGACAGTCAATCCACCTAATCAGCTTTCCTGGACAACTAACCAGTAATTAAAATTTCTCCCCACATAATCAACTACTTATCCCATGATTTCTGAATCAGCAGTGATAGACAAATGACTATCAGACTCAATGATCAAGGTCAATTGTCAAAGCATAGAGAAATTTAGCTTTGCCCGAGGATTGAACCAATAACTCCTGGATTACAAATCAGCTGCTCTCCTTATTGAGCTTATCTGGTGACAGTCATCATTTCATTTACTTTGGTTTTTTAGTCAGCTTAAACACAATAAATGTCATATGGCAACTTTTTTTTCTATGCTGGTAGTGGAATACATCTGATGCTCTTTCACACACTGAGTTGAACCAGTGGCATTCTATAAGCTTATTGGACACCTTGGAAGACGGACAAAGTACCTTATAAATTTAAACTTAATGATATGAGAGACAAGTGTTTCAAAGTCAATAACCTTAACTTATTGGTCATGGGTAACCCATTACTGTCATGATAAATATTATTAATTATGAATCTTTTTAAATTCATTTTGATTAAACATGGATCTTTTTAAATTCCTTTCACGATAAGAATAAATATATATATATATGTATATCAAAACAATGACCATTCAATGTTTTTGCATTCATTTTAAGGATTCTTGTATGCCAGTATAACTGGACTTACCTGACTTCATCATGAATACTGATAGAAAACCGTCCTTTGATATTGTACTCTTCAAACAACCAACTCATACATGATAGCATCAAGTGGAGATAATCCACTGCTGAACTCTGTACGACCCAATTTATACGACTTGTCATAAACTGAAAATAAAACATCCCAGACAATGTTTAATTAACATCATAATTTATTTCCTGCATGAAGAAATAATTCAATTTGTTGGGTATTTTTATATCGAACGAGTCAATAAGGATTCTTGTTTGCTTATATACTCTTACTTATATAAATGTAAAGAAAACACTTTACATTGTCACAACACAATGTTTTCTATGAAATTTCATACTATTTCTGTCACCTTATCATCAACAAAAGCAGCCCAATACCTCCTCAGTATAGCCTGAAGAGGCTCTATATGGTTTTTGGCTGATTTTTTAATTGCAATTTAATAATTTAATAATGAAACTAGAAATGTGTCATCAAGCCACGGATGCCCCGGCATGCAGCCAAAATTTCAAATGTTATAATATTTAGTTTTTTCATTTTAAGTTCAAAGCCCTTAAAACTTTTCAATGTTAACACAAACCATTTTCATACAATGTTCAAGGCACTGAAATTATTCAGTCTTAACCTTTTAAAAATAGCATATTGCATATTTGTAGCCAAAATAATGGCTAAAAGTATGAGTGCTGAAACTGAAAGTTCAAAATTTTTCCAACATTCAGGAAAGATAAGTTTGTCCAAAATCATTGAACCACGACCAAATTCAAACTTAAACTGCTTATTCCTAAGATGTATCTATATTATTTTTCAAAGTGAAAGGGACATAACTCTGTCAAAAAATCATCAAACCATGACCAAATTCCAACTAGACCTGTCCATTTCTTTGACATATCCATATGTCAAATTTGAGTTGAATATGTAACACTGTTGGGTAGATAATGAACAGAAACTGTAAAGATCATATTATTTTCAAAGTGAAAGGGGCATTACTCCTCCAAAAATCATTGAACCATGACCAAATTCGAACTTGGCCTGGGCATTCCAAAAACATATCCATATGTCAAATTGAGTTGAATGTGTTGTACCGTTGGGGAGATAATAAACTGAAACAGAAAATTTCATATTATTTTCAAAGTGAAAGGGGCATAACTCTGCCAAAAATCATCGAACCATGACTAAATTTGAACTTGACCTGCGCATACCTTTGACACATCCATGTGTCAAGTTTGAGTTGAATGTGTTGTACCGTTGGGGAGTTAATGAACGGAAACTGAAAATTTCATATTGTTTTCAAAGTATAAGGGGCATAACTCTGCAAAAAATCATCGAACCATGACCAAATCCGAACTTGACCTGTATTTTCTCATGACATATCCATATGTCAAATTTGAGTTGAATGTGTGAAACTGTTCTTAAGATAATGAACTGAAACTAATGATGATGGAATGACAGAATAATGGAAGGACAGAGGGATGGAAGGAAGGAATGACGGAACAGGGTAACACTATATGCCCCGGCCATTACATGGAGAGAGCATAAAAACCTTTTTAACTTGTAATGAATTTTTCTTGATAATCTATGGTACAATTGTTGGCTGTGTATTGCCAGGTTAGTGATTAAGACAAAACAATTCTCAGTACAATTCAGAATATATAAAAACGATACCAAATTGCTATGCATTCAGAATACTGACTGCTATCTTTCTGTAATCATATGTATAACTATCAATAATTGCGAATCGCATGAATCACAATGTAAAATTGATTTTTTTAGCATTGTCTGTAATATTTCAAATCGATTTTGAAACTATATTATACACAATAAATTCTGTACACTTTGTAAACATGAGCAAACTATGGAAAAAAGTGTCGATCTGAGGTGATTTCTTGATACTACATTAGCAGTTCAATGTGTAAGGAAGCAATAATCCAGTACTGTCAGCTGGCTTATCATGGGCTATTGTAACAAGATTAAACCTCTAAAACAATTCTACTTCACTTACATCTTCGCTGACATTTTCTGGTTCTAAGGCCTTGCTGATCCGGCAGCCCAGCACTGGAGTGCAGGGTTCCTCTTGTTTGGCAATTTCTTCCAGCTTGTTAAACATAGAGCTTTCACTGTATACATAAATGAGCCGTGTCACAACAAAACCAACATAATGCTTTTGCGACCAGCATGGATCCAGACCATCCGGGCAGTCTGATCAGGATCCATGCTGTTCGCTATCAGTTTCTCTACTTGTAATAGGGTTGGTAAGCGAACAGCAGGGATCCTGGGGGCCGTTTTATCAACGTGTCGTAGTCTACGACAATTTTTTGTCGGTGCCGTACGTCTGCGACAACGTCGTACGACTGTTTTATGAAACGTGTCGCAGACGTTGTGTTTCTACGACGTCGCAGCCTTTGTCGTAGACAATAATTCTTACGAGACACAGTCTAGCCAGTGCGCGTTTTGACGTCACATATGAAATCAAAGTACTTAAAGTACTGATGGAATTTACATGACTATTATCAAACGGATAAATTTACATGATTATTAGAAAATGGATAAATATTTTATAATGTCATTAAAAGAACACATTTAGTGAGAAATACAGCATATATTTTCTGCACTCGATTCAACCCTTAAAATACTAAATCACGCTACGCGTTTCCACCATTAATGCCGGGTCTGTACTGAATGCTAAAGGCACATTATGTCTCAGTCTAATCAAGTTTCTGAACACGGGTTTTATAACCTTTAAAATAACTTTTTCAAAGCAAGCAGCCGCTTATGACTTGAAGCGGTGAATGTAAAATTATTAACCAAAAATGTCAACAAAGTAGTATTTGACTTTTATACAAAATACTAAATAACTATCACAACTAAATTGCCAAAAATTAACAGACGCAAAAGATGGAAACAACCGATCAGCCACTTTTGGAAATTAAAACAGAAAACTAAAAATCAAAAGCATTTTTAAGAAACGCCAAAAAGTATGTTAATAGTACTTAAATAGTAAATTAAAATATAAATAGCACCGGGCTTTTCAAGTGTATCGTGTGGCGATCAATCGGAATGTCACGGCTATTATCTATAATAACATCGGAGTTAATACGGATTGAAAGTAGTTACACCAAGTAAGGAATACGCACATTCCAACTGATTTTAACGAGATAAGGTGCAGAGTACCCGTGACTATATAAGCTACCCACAGTATATAAAAACTAAAAAAAATAATAACCTGAAAGCATTCGAGTATAGCCATTTTTCATAGTATTTCCGAGAAATACGGTACAGACTCGAATATATGAACAAGCGAATAACTAGTCCCTTGTTTTTCTAGTTGTTTGAAACAAAAAAAATAATATACATGTATAGTATAGATATACCATTGCCAATGCATCGAAATAATAAATTGCTGTTTTGATTTTTTTGTTTATTTCGTTTTTAATTGAAACGGAACACGCTGTTTTGTATTCTGTTCCAATTTGTAATCTTAATGAAATATTTCTATTTAAGCGTCATGTATAGTTATTTTTTAGTGTTTTTTTTTTCAGAATTATATTAATTGTTTAAAGGTATTTATACATATATTTCATGTAGTATTCTAAAAAATCCCCTACTCCCGGCATTGTAAATACAGTTCGGGTACTATATTTTTTCAAGTCTTAAAAAGAATTGAAATACATAACTGGAGAGGTCACGAGACCTCTTCACAGTGTTCAGACCTATTGCTGGCGGCATCCATTTTTGCGTACATGTGTTTATCATTTATTTTAAATTTAGTTTGATGGCATAACACAAATTATTTTCTTTGTAGAAAAAGTATCGCTTAAAGTATCTCCGGCATATAATCTTTCAAAACATTTTTAAAAAATGAAGTGTAAAACAAACTTTCATTATGACACTATATAATAATAGTCTATTTTGTTAAATAATTGTAATTAATAACCATTCATTGTGTCTTTTAATGCAAAAAATATCCCCAAATATTTTCGAATTACACAAATCTATCACAGCAGCAAATTGACCTCTCGCATGCTTCTTTTTAAAGAAGCAAACTTGTTAATATATCATGCAGTTTGTGCAGACTTACATTTTTGTTTTGCCTGTATTTCTAAAGAAAGTAGTTGTGAATGTGAAAGTATTAAAATTGTTACTGTAGCAAAATTGTGACTTTCATACAAATTACTAAAATCATTAACACCGTTCTTGATTGACAAAAATTAACAGAAGCAAACGTTAGTTCAGGTTAATGATAATGGAAATAAAAATAATAAAGAAAAATAAAAAATAAAAAAATATAAATAAAAAGCTTTACAAAATAAAAGCATTTCTAGGGCTTTATTGGCCTTTATGAAAGGATTTTTGCGCGTTAGAAACAATTGTAGCTGCTTTTTTTAGAAACGCCAAAATTGTGTTTAAAGTACTAGCTATCATGATAAAACCAATGATTTGTACATATGATTTACTTAAACGGCACCCGATGTACTTTTTGTAGTATGAAGTGTGCGCACATTTTTACCCATTTTCCGAGGAATTCAGTACACACAAGATTTCAAACAAGTTCTGTTCCTTCTCGTTGTTTGAAATAAATATATATAATTAATCTTATAGATTTACTATTGCTAAAGTTTTGAAATAATGAATTGATGTTTTGACATATTTTCGTAAAGTTATATTAAGCGCACTGCTTTTAAGTTGAAACGCCCCACGCTGTTTTTGTTGTAATTTACATGAACTAATTCACTTTAAAATGTAGCTTTTTGTTGTTGTTTTAGTTATTGCGGTTTTTTTACGGAAAGCGGATTAATTTTTCTCATAGATTAGCCTGGGTTCCAATCTGTCGATTTTTTATGTGCTTCTTGTCGGCAAATTGACATAATTGAGCCGCGTCATGACAAAACCAACATAGTGGGTTTGCGACCAGCATGGCTCCTGACCAGCCTGCACCTCCGCGCAGTCTGATCATGATCCATGCTGTTCGCTTACAAACCATATAACAAGCACAGGCACGAGTATCGGACCTGGGAAGAAAAAATATGACCAGATTGATAAAAAAAACCAGTGTTCATCTTAAAAGTGTCAAAAAAACAAAAAAAATGTAAATAATGACCCCCTTTAAAAATATACTATAAGTTAAGAGAAGGCCGGAAACTCCAGATTCGAGCCTACGAGCAAGGGATTCATTTCCCGTGCTGTTGTGAAAACAATTGGCCAGACAATTAAAAAAAAACTTTTATCACTATTTCACTTTTATATTAAGCTTCAAAATGAGACCAACCCCAAGTCTCTAGCCCTTCCCGTTCATGAAATATCTATCAGGAAACGAGCGAATTCGTGCTAAAAATCCTTGGTAGACAGAATTGCGGCACAACAATTCGGTACGTAAACATAGACTAATACATGTATGTCAGCTGACTACGGGTCAAAATCACTTGCATTTACTAAATAATATTACTAAATACATTAAGTTGGACCACTCACAACCGTCAGTAGCATCTGATACACGCAAAATTCGAATTTAACTTATATATATATAACTTTCCTATTTTATACCATATGGGTTTCTTCAAAGAAATATCTACATTTATGTAAAATCTAGTTAAAATATTATGATTTTTCCAATATTAATGTGAAATAAAAAAGAGTTAATTCATTTTTTATTCTATTTTCCGAAGACATCTTTGGAACTCATTATTAATAGAATAGAGTATGACCGTAAAGGCATATTTGCTCCAAATGAACGATATTTTAGACATTTTTATAGGGTATAAGATTAGTATATTCTGTCTCTTTCTTATACTTAGAGCGCATGTATAAAGTCCCTTTATAAACGATTGACATTAAAAGAAAACAAATTGAAATATGTTGTTTGTTTTTTTTATTCTGAAAAAGTTATTTCATAAAAATTAATGTGCTGAGCATGTATACATGTAAACAGTGATCGCCAGTCTTGACGTTACAGTAACGTCGTACGACAGCCCTAACCCTGTCGTAGAGCTGCGACATTTTTTACGTCGTAGGCTACGACAAACGTTAATAAAACGGTCTTAACGTTCTGCGACATGTCTGCGACAAAAAACTAGCCTACGATGTGTCGTAGAGCGTTGATAAAACGGCCCCCTGATCAGACTGAGCGGATGCCCAGGCTGGTCTGGATCCATGCTGGTCACAAACCCATTATGTTGGTTTTGTCATGACACGGCTCATTAATATAATTACAAACTTAGCATGCCTGACAACTTGGTGATCTATGTAAATCTAGAGAGAATAAAGTATTAATAAATTAGGTATTTATCTTAAAATCAAATTTTCTCCTTTTTTTGCGATCATTAAATTCCTCAAAACGAGTTGAACCACTGATGTTACGTAAGCTAGCTGGATAGCTTCCTCACATGGAAGAATTCAAAGTCCCTGGTTGGATTCGAGACTTCAGTCAGTGAGGGGCAAGTGGTATGAAGACAACAACCTAAAGAAACTTAACTAGGGACGCCGATTCACAAGAAATTAAATAAAAGTCTTTCAAGCCTTCCATGCATTCAAACTAAAATAACTATGTTATAATATAAAATATCAATAAATACATGTAATAAAATAAACAAGTTTAAAACAAACAGGCTTTTGCCTAATTTCATTTTTTTTAAACTAATATTTTTAGAAAAATAAGCCTAACTTTACATGCAGGGAGTAAAATCTAACAGCTATTATAATACATTTACCTCCCACCACTCCACAGCCCTGTTCGGTAGCTGAAAGTTAAAAGAGAATAAGTGAGTTTACAATTTTTGTCACCTTATTTCTATAAAATAACTTGAAAACTAATGGCTATTTTCAGCATGTTATGCCTATTTCAACATATGTTACACCTTAAAAATTTCTGGAGACAATTTAAATACGAGCAGCTTTAGTAGCTCATATCACTCCATTAAATTTTGACTCAACAAAAGTTTGACTTCTTAGAACTACTGGTATTTTTAAATTTACATTAAGAATGACAGACAAGAAATTCTGGAAGCAAAAACTTAAAACTAAAAGACAAATCATGGCCTATTTTACACATAGCTACGGCTGATTTATCCAATGTCATTGATTATTTTCAGCTATTGCTACATTTTATCAGTGATTCATTAACAAAAACATTGAGACAGTCGTTACTGGACTTGAAATTCTCTACAATGGCTGATAATCTATAATGTATGATAAGATTATGTCAACAAATTAAGGTTGTCTCCCTTTGTATATGACCTGCATGCAGGAGTCTAATTTGTTCAATGATGATTAAAGGCCCATTAAGCCTAAGAAATGCTTTCATTCTTATTTCTTAAAAACAATTTATTTTTAGTATCTTGCTACAGTTTCAGAATAAAAGTTAGTATTTTGTATGGAAGTATTTTGTTTACATTTTGCTACCTTTACGACACATACTTTCTTCAGTTGTAAAACATCTTACATGCTCTAAATTCATTTTTAAAACATTATTAAACATGTTTGTCATTTCTTAACAATAAAAAAATTATGGATTTCCGAGGCATAATGTGCCTTTAAAAAATGTTTTGAGAGCATATTCACTAAAAATGTTCCCAAAAATGCTTTTTAAATCAAATCTACATTTTTCTTAAAAAAATTTAATTTTTTTCTTTCGGTAACCATGGCAACCAGAGTTCTGCTTGGAATTAAATTCTTTAAACAATTTTCAAAGTTGACTACCAAAGGAACATTACTGTGAAGTTTGTATAAAAGTGGCTTAGCAGTTTATGAGGAGATGTCCTTTAAAGTAAAAGTTTACGAACAGACACCGGACGGACGCCGGATGAAAAGCGATCACAAAAGCTCACCATGTCACTTTGTGACAGGTGAGCTAATAAAAAAAGTCCCAAGATAAAACAATAAAGTTTTTTCAGTACCATCTTTTGCCTTTTGTAGTAGCAAACATCAGTTTGGCTTTCTGCCTTGCCTCTTCAATTGTAAGTCTATGGTTAAACTGTTGGAGAAGTTTCTGTGCAAACGTCTGGCCTGCCCCATATATACGCCCATAGTTAAACACCTGTACATGGAAAATAATGAGAAAATTCATACATCAATAAGGTTTATGTAACGGCAGCTATAATATATTTTACTAGGTAGCATGGGTAGGGAGATTCAAAAACGCACCTCTTGGTTTTTATATCTATTTACTAATGATACTACAGAGAGGTGATGCAAGGTGAATTTAGGCGGGGCTTATCAGCTAGCAGCTAATACTAGCTGACCAATAGCGAGTCAATATATTACAGTTTATATACCCAGTTAATATGTATAAATGGGACAAATATTAAAGGGTTTTAGAAAAACATTCCTCCATTATTCATGATCTTGATAAAGAGAGACTGATAGTTTGATTTTGTTTAAATTGATAGACAAACTTGACATACTAAAACTACATGTTCTCTAGCCTAAATACTCAACCAACCTGTTATTAAATGCTACCCTTGTGTGATTTGCTAATATTTCCTCACAAAAAATGTCTGGAATTTGAAATAAGCTTACTTTTTAACATGAGGAAATATTCACTTATACAGTATTGTTTGACTGCTCAATCGCTATTTGTCAAGAATGCCATGCTCACAAAATCTTTACCAATTTCCCCGTATTCTTTTTATAATCAAGTTAAAAATGTTTTGCTGATAAACCTCACCTTGGCATGGTCTCTAGAGATATCAACTGTTTTGGCAACCACACTGTGTAGATCTGTGCCCTCTTTCTTACTGCCTTGTAGTGTCATCCAACCCAGAGCTGTACAACCTGAAAGTGACAAAAGTAAACTACCATATACTCTGTAAAAAATGCCCCCACACCTAAAAAACACCCCCTTTAGTTACCAAGATCATAGCAGTTTACTACTAAATCAAGAAAATTAGCATACCTGAATATTTAACATTCAAGGCCTTTATGACAGAGTGACAGAATTCTGTTCATTTACCCCTTAATAATTTGTGGATTCAATGTGTGTCCTTAATGTGTTGAAGCTGTCCACCAAATGTAACAAATATTGATTATTCTCAGGTGACCACTCATGCATAAATTTATATACACAGACAGATGGGTATTTGAGGTTTAATTCATCTGTATTATTTCTTTTTAAAAATAAAACGCAAAAGTTCATAAAAAGGCTTGAACCTTTAAACAGCCATGGGGCAGTTGCCTCCATGTAAGCAGTCATCATCACTTTACCACCAAAAGCTGCAATCAAATAAAGAAACAAACATTTTCATACCATGTGTCTTTCCAAAGTTGGCATCCCCTAGGATAGCACCAATCCACAATTCCTGTGAGTCAACATCAGCCCCTACAAAACAGAATCCTGGTGGTGCCTGAACCATTGATTTCAACTCACTCCCAATTCTGTCCACCTACATAAAGAGTACACATTGATATCTGTTTCAAGAAAATATTTATGTATGTCCATCATTATTATATATAAATACATACAATTCAAAATATTAGTATATAAAATATAATATTAACCAGATCTAGGGCATTAACTCTAAGTACAATTGTAAACCTAATATATATAGGGGCATTAAGTAACAAAGAATCTAAACCAAAAATGCAAGAAAAACAAGATGAACTGTTTATTTAACCAGATCATGGGTAAACCACTTATTGGTTATACTTTTAATGATGGTTTACCAGAAATAGCATGCTGAAAATCTAGGTTGTTTTATTTGACTTACAAGGGAGATAATTAACAAACTTTTTTATAGGTGTTAAATGTAAATCTTTAATTTACATGCTTCTTTTTAAAGTGCCAAGTCACAATCTTTGTCTTGCATGCCAATTCAATAATGAAACAATTCAAGGGCAGTAACCCCATAATAACTTAAAATGTTTGAGGAGCCTTATCTGATCAATTTGATCAGGTCAAGCGCAGTAACCCTGAAAAACATAATTAGTTCAAGGGCAGTAACTCTGCAAAACATGTGAAAATACCACTGACTATAGATTTGTTATGAGATATAATTTTCATTAATATGATTGTTACCAAATTAAATGAAACTCATTTAAATTAAAAACTACTTTTAAAGATGTTTTCTTTTAAAAATGCATCTGCCATGGACTTTCTTATTTCATATGCATGAACAAAATATTTAAGTTTAGTCTTACTCACATATGCATTACTAGCTGTCAGCCAGGTTGGTTCCACACCCCTCCGTGTAATGGTACCAGCAGGGACAATTCTGGGAACTATTGCTCCTATTTGACTCCCCTCTACATAATTTGGTGCCCTGTAAATAAAGACAATGAATATCAACTTCATCTATCTAAAATATGTGAAATATCAGTGAAAAAGAATTCTCCCACTTTGATCTGGAGCTACTCTTGGTCAGTTCAAGTTCAGTATATCAATTATACCATAACTGACCAATCAACAGTATACAAGAGTCTGGTTAGACTGCACAGTCTACATAAGCGTACAGTTACTGCTTCAAGACCCAATGAGTACAAATTTTACCATTCCTCTAAATAAGGCAAAACAGACCAAAGTATCTCTTTTCTGGTTTTCAGATAAAAATATTCAGGGCAGTAGTTCAAATCCAATAGGGTCCATCATCATAATTACCAATACTTCCATTGCAAATATGGACACATTTTGACAATGGCAATAAGGTCAGTAAGCAAAGGTCAAAAGGTCTAGATCAGAAGGCCAATTTTCTTGCTCTATTCAATTTTGTGAAATAAAGAGTCCTATAGATGTAAATAAAGTTTTTAAATACATATGTTTCTAAGTATTCAAATAACTAGGTAACTTGTATCAGTGACCACATCAAAACATTGTTACTTCTGTTTTGTTTGCATGCATTCCTTGCTAACCTTAATGTTTTAAAAGCATTTGCTATCATGATTCAGATTAACCTGCAATGTTTCTGACCAATAAAAATATTGCTGTATCATATATGACACACAGGAATGGAAATTTTGAATTAATTGCCTATGTTAATTAGAATTGCTATTTTAGATAATCAACTCCATGTGGTTTTGATTGTTTGTTTATTTTGTCATTTATACATCAACTGTCAACATGTAATATTATCCAGTATGGTTAATAATATCTAAAGTTGTTATGCTTAAATCTTTATACTCACTGTTTGATATGGTCATATATCTCCTCATCAGAAAACCATATTGCCATCTGTGACCTGGAAATTTATGAAAAAATAAAATGTAATGAAGGAAATGTCAATTGATTAAAACATTTCCCAATATAGGAAATTTAGATTTTGACAGAATTTCATGTTAAATAAAATCTTGCTGTATTTGTTGGTTTTTTTGTAGTTGTTTTTTGTTGCTTTTTTCAACAAAAACATTTTGGCTTGACATCTCCAAAAACGGTTTTGTTTAGTTGGATTTTTAAGTCACACCAACACTGTAAAGGTCATATGATGACTTTCCACCTTTACTGGTGTAGGAAGACCTTAGATGCCTGTTAGTGCATTATTTCAGGCACAAGCAGACATCGAAGTAGAACCATTGACCTTGTGTAAGCTTGCTGGACAGCTTCCACACATGAAAGAGTTTGAAGCCTCTGACTGGATTCAAAGGATAGATTGTTTGAAGTTAGTAACCTGAACCACTCAGTCATGGAGGGGCCTATCTACAAAAGGTTAATGGAATAATTGATGACATTTTGTTATCAGGTGTTCCCATCTTCAAATTAATGGGCTTTGCAAAAAGTTTGACAAAATAATTCTTATCAGAAACTTGAATAAATTTTTTAAAAGATTTTGCTAATTACAAACAAAAAATGTTCATAATTAAAACATATTACAAAATTGTTTACATTCAACTTTGTTTTTTTTTTTCTGGTTTCTGACAAATTTCAACTTAGTTTTGGTCATATCTTTGTGGTCCTTCCACATAACAGGTTTTCCTGGATAACTAAGCAGTAATTTCTTGGAGAGTCATGACTACAAATCCTACATGATTTCTGGATTAGCAGTAAGAGACAAATGATCATTAGACTCAATGTCTTGAGATGAACTGTCATGGAGAAGTTTTGCCTCAAATGATGATCAAACCAGTTACCCCTTGTTTAGAAATCTGATGCTCTCTCTATTAAAACAAGATATGTTTGTAAAACATGTATGCCCCCTATCAGCAGCCAATTAGTCATGTGATAAGGTTATTATGCATGACTTCTGACCCAGTGATCAAACAATTAATAAGGGTTATAAAGTATCTACTGGTCATGACTTTGACCCCTTGACCCAAAACTCAATAGGGGTCATCTGCTGGTCACGACCAATCATCATACAAAGTTTGAAGTTCCTAGGCCTAGGCGTTTTTAGTAAATTGATCAGAAACCGTTTTTACCTACAAGGTCAATGTGACCTTGACCTTTGACCCCTTGACCCCAAAATCAATAGGGGTCATCTGCTGGTCATGACCAATCACCATGCCTAGGTTGAAGTTCCTAGGCCTAAGGGTTCTCTTATTATTGATCGGAAACCGTTTTAACATACAAGGTCAATGTGACCTTGACCTTTGACCCCAAAATCAATAGGGGTCATCTGCTGGTCATGACCAATCACCATGCCAAGTTTGAAGTTCCTAGGCCGAAGCGTTCTTTAGTTATTGATCAGAAACCGTTTTTACTTACAAGGTCATTGTGACCTTGACCTTTGGGCTTAATCCCAAAATCAATAGGAGTAATCTGCTGGTCATGACAAATCACCATACCAAGTTTGAAGTTCCTAGGCCTAAGTGTTCTTGAGTTATTGATCAGAAACCGTTTTTACTTACAAGGTCAATGTGACCTTGACCTTTGACCCCTTCACCTAAAACTCAATAGGGGTCATCTGCTGGTCATGACCAATCATCACACAAAGGTTGAAGTTCCTAGGCCTAAACGTTTTTAGTAAATTGATCGGAAACCGTTTTTACCTACAAGGTCAATGTGACCTTGACCTTTGACCCCTTGACCCCAAAATCAATAGGTCATCTGCTGGTTATGACCAATCACCATACCAAGTTTGAAGTTCCTAGGCATAAGGGTTCTTAAGTTATTGATCGGAAAGCATTTTTACCTACAAGGTCAATGTGACCTTGCCCTTTAACTCCTTAACCCCAAAATCAATAGGGGTCATCTGCTGGTCAATACCAATCACCATACCAAGTTTGAAGTTCCTAGGCCTAAAAGTTCTTTAGTTATTGATCAGAAACCGTTTTTACCTAAGAGGTCAATGTGACCTTGACCTTTGACCCCTTGACCCCCAAAATCAATAGGGGTCATCTAGTGATCATGACCAATCACCATCTCAAGTCTGAAGTCCCTAGGCCTAAGGGTTCTTTCATTATTGATTGGAAACCGTTTTTCCTACAAGGTCAATGTGACCTTGACCTTTGACCCCTTAACCCCAAAATCAATAGGGGTCATCTGATTGGTCATAACCAATCACCATACCAAGTTTGAAGTTCCTAGGCCTTAAGGTTCTTTAGTTATTGATTGGAAACCGTTTTTTACCTACAAGGTCAATGTGACCTTGACCTTTGACCCCTTGACCCCAAAATCAATAGGGGTCATCTACTGATCATGACCAATCACCATACCAAGTTTGAAGTTCCTAGGCCTTAAGGTTCTTTAGTTATTGATCGGAAACCGTTTTTACCTACAAGGTCAATGTGACCTTGACCTTTGACCCCTTGACCCCAAAATCAATAGGGGTCATCTACTGATCATGACCAATCACCATACCAAGTTTGAAGTTCCTAGGCCTTAAGGTTCTTTAGTTATTGATCGGAAACCGTTTTTGCTTAAAAGGTCAATGTGACCTTGACCTTTGACCCCTTGACCCCAAAATCAATAGGGGTCATCTACTGATCATGACCAATCACCATACCAAGTTTGAAGTTCCTACGCCTTAAGGTTCTTTAGTTATTGATCGGAAACCGTTTTTGCTTTCAAGGTCAATGTGACCTTGAACTTTGACCCCTTGACCCCAAAATCAATAGGGGTCATCTACTGGTCATGACCAATCACCATACCAAGTTTGAAGTTCCTAGCCCTTAAGGTTCTTTAGTTATTGATCGGAAACCGTTTTTGCTTTCAAGGTCAATGTGACCTTGACCTTTGACCCCTTGACCCCAAAATCAATAGGGGTCATCTACTGATCATGACCAATCACCATACCAAGTTTGAAGTTCCTAGGCCTTAAGGTTCTTTAGTTATTGATCGGAAACCGTTTTTGCTTAAAAGGTCAATGTGACCTTGACCTTTGACCCCTTGACCCCAAAATCAATAGGGGTCATCTACTGATCATGACCAATCACCATACCAAGTTTGAAGTTCCTAGGCCTTAAGGTTCTTTAGTTATTGATCGGAAACCGTTTTTGCTTTCAAGGTCAATGTGACCTTGACCTTTGACCCCTTGACCCCAAAATCAATAGGGGTCATCTACTGGTCATGACCAATCACCATATCAAGTTTGAAGTTCCTAGGCCTTAAGGTTCTTTAGTTATTGATCGGAAACCGTTTTTGCTTTCAAGGTCAATGTGACCTTGACCTTTGACCCCTTGACCCCAAAATCAATAGGGGTCATCTACTGGTCATGACCAATCACCATACCAAGTTTGAAGTTCCTAGGCCTAAGGGTTATTTATTTATCACTCGGAAACCATTTGGTCTACGGACCGACGGACCGACAAGTGCAAAGCAATATACCCCCTTTTCTTCGAAATGGGGGCATAATTAACAAAATACAGTATCATAAAAATAAACTCACTCAATACGCTTGTGATTCATTTTCCAGTAGTTTGATGACTTGTTTAATTTCAGGACAAGATCTGCACCTGGACCTGATTGTGCCGACAGTGTCCCATCTTCAACACGATTAACATAATCTTTTGCCAGAGGGTTACCAACTCTCTTACCCTTCCCATCCTGCAGACACAAGAATTCACAATAGACACAAGAATTCACAATAGACACAAAAATTCACAATAGACACAAGAATTCACAAATATTTTAACATGAAGGGTATACGTAAAATGTATCAGATGAAAGTGGAAAAAACACATAGAAAACTTCTGTCTTCACCAGAAATCTTCTTGTCAAATGTTTGTAATGCTTTGAATGCTTTGAATTGCAACGTTACAAGATTCAACTAGGAATATGTCAATAAAACACTTATGCACCTTCTTCATTTACCTTTTACAGTGCTAATTTTGTAGATTGTTACCTTGTGAGGTGAAGTGAAACAAGGGTAAATCTAAATCCCCCCCCCCCCCCCCCCCCACTAAAGTTGGAGCACAAAAAACTTCTGTCTTAACCGGAAATCTTCTTAATGTTTGTAATGGATTAGCAATGCTTTGTATTGCAACATTACAAGATCCAACTAGGAATATGTCCATAGCACACTCATGTGCACCTACTTCATTTACCTTTTACAGTGCTATTTTTGTAGATTGTTACCTTGTGAGGAATTTTAAAGAACCAGCAGCCTGGAATATTCACACTGTCATAAGGTCCATCTCCTGTATGTTTTAAACGTTTTCTTGATCTTCTTTCCTGAAAATAATAACACAGCATCCATGAGCTCAAATACCATACATTTTTGATAATTTATTATAGTTTATTATACATGTATACATCAATGGTTTGATCCTCTGGTTAGGCAAAGTTTGTCTGTAACAACTGATAAAAGACATTCAGTGTAATGATCATTTGTGTCAGAAATAATGTTGGATTAGTAGTAGTCATTCCTATGTGTAGAAATTGGTTATTAACAGTTAGTTGTCCAGGAAAGCCTGTTATATGTATCGAATGCCAGGATATGACCAAAAATATGTTAAAATCAGCATAAAAACAAGAAAAACAAATAAATTAACATTTTATGATGACAGACAAAAATCTTTGGTGCTCTTAAGAGGTGTTACTTCACAGAAGTAAAACTCATTGTGAATTGTTACTTCGAGAAGGAAAATGGTACTAATGTTGGAAAGAAGTAAGTACAGTCAAACGTGTATTAAGCGACCGGGCAAGGGAAACACCAAAAACGGTCGCTTAATGAAACGGTCTCTTAAGACAGTCAGCATGATATAAAAGTCAAAATTTATAAATGACATCTTTTTTATTCGATGGGATTGTTTTTCAACTTCATTTTTATATAAATGTTGAATAATAAGTACGCTCCGATAATCTAAACGGATGCAAATGTAAAAATAGCGTTCTGATAATTATTGACAAGACAGTTTTGATCCATTATGTACATGTTTGACATTTTTTCCAGAATTTTTTAACTCCTCCGTTGTTTTTCCTTGTCTCCAACACGAAAACCCTATTAGTGAAGATATTTTCTGTTGTGTATTTTTTCATTTGAAATAAACAAACTACATCTATTTGTTACGATTAATTTAATGGCTGATCAAGTTCAAGGTCAATTCAATGCAGTCTAAATGTCAACAAGCGAAGCGTATACATCATCTCAGTATGGGCGGAGCGTTGCATTGTTTATCCGATATTATTGGATAATACACGTCACGCGTATACTTAACTTCATTTGCATACGCTAAAACGGTATGGGAAATAGAGTTTTTCACACGTTTATTGTTGTGTTTTGATTGCTGACACTTGTGACATAACGAGGTGGCGTTCTCTAAAAACACAATTACTTGACAGGTAAAAGTGGTCGTTTAATGAAAAGATTGATGTCAATTAGGTGACTAATTAGCGGTCGCTGGTCGCGTTGAGCAAAAGTCGCTTAATACATTAAAGATATAGAGAGAAAATGATCGGGGGGAATTTAAAGTGGTCGTTTAAGACAAAAGTCGCTTAATACACGTGGTCGCATGGGCAAGTTAGACTGTACTTTTAAAAAAAGGTCACACAGAGTTTGTATTCACACGAGCTGTCATAGGTGGTGCAAGCATACTTGACTAATTAGATATATGACATTTTGAAATCATATATGTTGCCAATAAACATAATACTTTATTAATATATAGAAACTATTTTTGTTACATAACACTGATAATTAATTAAATACCAATCCTTTCAATAGGATTATATTTTCAATGTAACATAAGCCTTATTATGACTTGAAAATTAATTTACAGAGAGATTTCAAACCTGCAAATATTGACAACAAGTAAAAAAGCCAATCTGTGAGCATGTTATAATCAATGTAACACATGGCTATATTTATCCCTGCTTTTCCCTATGTCGGGTCACATAGTAAGTTCAATAAGAACACATTGCTAACTCAATGTTAAGTTAGTAAGAAATGAGTTGTTGGAGTTTTATTTTTATACTTACTCTGATTCCTCTGCAGATCAAACATTTAAAGTGAAAAATTTAATTATTGTAAATTCTCAATATGATTAATACACATTTCAGGTTTGACTTTCAACTTTTGACTTTTTACAGCCTGCACATGGTTTAGTAGCTAGACTCTGGATAACTAATACTGGCACTGTAGTTAACACACAGTGCTCCATTGGATATACAATTTATTCCGCGGGCATTTCCAAGAAAAAAGTCTCTCAACTATGATACAAATTGAAATGGACCATCTCATAAATATATGACATCAAAACATGTTTGTTGTCTTAAATGCCAAATATAAAAGCACAGATAATATCATATTCTGTGTGTTTTACTACGCAAAAATAACTGGTTATTTTCCAATTTTCTAATGAAAATCAATACAAAATATGATAAAAAAAACAATTCATCAATTCTTATAGACTACTGAATAATTCTGCCACATAAATATTACAGTAGCCTTTTTGTTTTTAAATCAAAAGATGATATAATGACAAACAATTTAGTTGGGTTTTTTTCTTCTACAAAGACAGATTGATAACTTGTGATCTTCATATGTTAGGATTTCACTTTTAACACATTCTCTATCTATCTATTACTTTTGCCAGCAATGTTTTATTCAGGGCCAAAATGCCACTTTTAAAAAAGTCCTTTTCTTGACAGACCAGATACTTTTCACTGAATGGATAAAATGTTAGGGAAATGAAAGTGGGAACATTAACTGGTCTTTTTTGTTTAGATTACAGATACCAGATGAAAGTCTGATAGAGCTGACTCTGGTGAAATAATGATATTCACTCAAATCAAGGCCACAGTCATAAATGGCATCCATGGCAAATATAGCATTGTGAACAAGGGCATTGGTCTGGAAGAACACCAAAATTTTACTGAGTTTTCTGCATCATTTGAGTTACCTAATCATTTGAGGTGATACATAATATGTGTTAATGACTGTTTGTCCCTTTTGCAGAAAATCTTTGATAGGAATACTGTCGTCTCCATCACAGAAAACTGAGGATATATCCTGAAGGTGCTGTTTAAGTTTTAAAACATAGTGATTCTTAAACTGGAAAAAAACAAAAAAACAAAAAAAAACATACATGTAGAAACAATACTGACCTTGACTGCTTTTTTTATCTTCGGGTCTTCACCTTCTTTACGATGTTTGTAAGATTTGGGACCGGCATTTACAAGTCCATTCAGCATCTTGTCCATCTTTAGTTCAAACTCTTTATCTGTCATATCAACATTTCCCTCATCATCACTATCAATACATTCATCATCTTCAATACTTACAGCGGAGGCTTCTTTTCCTATACCCAGGATTTCACAAAGTTCCCTGTAAAAAGTGATTAAAAAATCAATATACTGCAATAAGCAATAATAAAAACAATACTATAACAAGGCAGTCCAAAGGACAGCCATGTTACCTCACACTTTAGCTTGTTCAATCAGAATTTCATGTTGTCTGCATTCTAAATATCATCTCATTTATCTCATCATTTGGTACAGGTAGACCTTAAGATATATCAAACTTGCTGATTTAGGTAAACTTGGTATGAAAAGATTGATGGACAGTTCTATTTCTATTATGTCCAAAGGCATACAAAATTTAAAACTTTTTACAGGTGATGTTTATGTGCCTTTAAACAATTTGTATGCCACAATTTATCCATCTACAAACAGGCAATGCAACAATACCTTTGCTCTTTGTATTGCCTTAAAAAATTGGATTTGAATGTCAATAAAAAATAAAAAAAGCCATTAAGCAAGGTATTTAGATGATCACAAAACATTCTTAAAAAGCCTTTAATAAAAATAATACAGTACAGACCTTGCAGATTGTGAGAAAAAAAAACTCAAGACCTATTTCTAGCTGCTGTGACCTACTTATTCATCATTAGTAGTACATGTATACTGTAAATACCAAATATTATTCTATTCAACCTTCCTAACAATATAGTACCTACACAATGTATATACTAAATACAAATTTCTGTTTACTAAGCCTTTGTTGTCAAATGTCATGATAACAATTATGTACCAAAAAAACATACTTAATTCTATCATACCAAAACAATTTATTTTCCTCACAATTCATACAAAATGTGTTGTTAATGACCGTTCATATTCATACAAATCAAGACATGTACTAAACACTCTCTTATTTGCTGGCGGAAAATTGTACAAAACTGTTAGATGTATTCAGTATATTTCTGTTATTATGTTTGTCAGGAGAAAACAGTGTTGAAATAATTAACTGTGTATAATAATAATAATTTTCCTTTGTTATTTATCAACTAATGAGGCTAATAAAGCGAAACATGTATTGATATTTAAAATTGTGTTGGTTTTTTATCTTCTTTAATCCTATATAATCATGGACAACATACAATGGATGACTTTCTCACTGGTTGTCACAAAGGTTTCACCTTTGAGAACTTTGCATTTAACAAAGAAATAATAATCAGATCTACATATAATTCATTTCAATTTGAGAATATAAAATGACATATTTTTTTTTACACATCATGAAATTTACTACACATACTTATACATACTCATATGGGAACTGCCTTTCTATGGATGTTTCTTCGCCAGGTTCGAGTACTGGGTCCTCCAAGTTATCTGTTCTGCCCGGGACCAGGTATCCCCAGCCATGTGTGTCATCATGGTGGACGGGATAGCCGTCCCAGGTGAGACGTAGAAGTTTTGGGGTCACTCTCGTCTGATGACTGATCTTGTGGGGACCTGGACACCACTCATCACTAGTGAAACGTGTACATAGTATTCTATACCATCTGTTGAAAGAAAGATACATATGAGCCGCGTCATGACAAAACCAACATAGTGCGTTTGCGACCAGTATGGATCCAGACCAGTCTGCGCATTCGCGCAGTCTGTTCAGTATCCATGCTGTTCGCTTACAAACCCTATTACAAGTAGAGAAACTGATAGCGAACAGCATGGATCCTGATCAGACTGCGCGGATGCGCAGGCTGGTCTGGATCTATGCTGGTCGCAAACCACTATGTTGGTTTTGTCGTGACACGGCTCATTAATGAATAATCTTGTACAGTTCTGAGTACTTTTAACTAAAGAATTGATATAGAGGGTAAACATTTTTGTATATCTCTGACATAGATGACATATCCCAAACATATTGCAAACCTAAAAGAGGAAACTACCATCTCAGTAATTACAAACCATAGTTGAAACAATAGCAAGTCTTAGTTTGTCTGTTTTACTGTTTTTACATGGATTTTAACGGAAGTTTTTGGTCATATTTAAGTAACAATCCACCTATTTGGCTTTCCTGGATAATTAAAACTAATATAAATTTCACTATGTATCATTACCATATTGCATTAACCAGTTACTGCACTATAGGAGTTAACCTGTTACTGCACTACAGGATAGGAGTTAACCTATTACTGCAGTGTAGGATAGCAGTTAACCTGTTACTGCACTACAGGATAGGAGTTAACCTGTTACTACACTACAGGATAGGAGTTAACCTGTAACTGCACTACAGGATAGGAGTTAATCTGTTACTGTGCTTTAGCATAGGAGTTAACCTGTTACTGCACTATAGGCTAGCAGTTAACCAGTTACTGCACTATAGGATAGAAGTTAACCTGTTACTGTACTTTAGCATAGGAGTTAACCTGTAACTGCACTATAGGATAGCAGTTAACCAGTTACTGCACTATAGGATAGCAGTTTACAAGTTACTGCACTATAGGATAGAAGTTAACCTGTTACTGTACTTAAGCATAGCAGTTAACCAGTTATTGCACTATAGGATAGGAATTAACCTGTAACTGTACTTTAGCATAGGAGTTAACCTGTTACTGCACTATAAGATAGGAGTTAACCTGTTGCTGCACTATAGGATAGCAGTTAACAAGGTACTGTACTATATGATAGAGATTAACCAGTTACTGTATTTTAAGAAATGTGTTAACTGGTTATTGCACTATATGATAGGAGTTAACCAGTTACTGCACTAGAGGATAGGAGTTAACCAGTTACTACACTATAGGATAGGAATTAACCAGTTACTGCACTATAGGATAGAAGTTAACCAGTTACTACACTGAGGTGACTGTATTAGAATACTTACTCAGGATAGCCCATCATGTACGTATTATTTTTATAGTGTCGATCTTCCTGTTTCAACACTTGCTGTATGCAGTCAATATCTTCAACCGATTCCAACTCGCCTTGCTCCCCTTTTTGTTTCTGATATTGATAAAAAAAAAAAAAAACATTAATGGATTTTTTCCCACATAAATAATATATATATGAAAACCAATTGTATATTTATACATAATATGTGAAAACCTTCAAAAATGGTATATTTTTACATAATGCATACATGTATATACATGTATATGACAACCTCCAATATTGATTAACTTTTTACGTAATATCTTAAATTGTTCTATAATATTACATAGTTTTACATAACAGATCGCAATGAACGCCTTCAATAATGGTGCCATCAGTCATCCCAATGTTCGTCACCATTCAGAAAATCGTCAAGTGCTAGAAATTTGATTGTTTACCACTGACGTCATCTTTCAACAGAGATGAATATAGCATTACAAGTGTTATCTCATAATTTGTCAAATGGCTAATAGGCCAATAAATTTGTGAAGAAATATTTTAACACAAAATCATATATTCAATTATTTTATGTTTTGCTATTCTGGTATATTTAAACAAGAAATTCTGATTGAATTATTTATTTTTGTGAGGGAATTAGTTTGGCTCTGTCGCCATTCACTTGTAAGTAATGTGAAAAGTGAGACAAAAAAATGGCAGGAATTTGACAGTTTTAATAAATAAATTTAAAGGTGCAATTTAATGATAGCCACCAGAACTACCTAGTTCTTTACATTAGCAATAGAGTTTTTCTATAGTCTTATGACTAGAACAGTGGCATAGGAAATGTCAAAAAAAAAATATTTGTATATCAAAATTCTTAACATTTATTGACATCATGAATTTGTTGTCTGTTTTTCCCTTAGTATGATGAAAACTGTCTGGACAACTCTATATATTTTACATTAATGATAATCTTCAATAATTGTATATTTTTTAAGCAAATATCTGTCTTAGTTGAGATATAAAATTGTACAAGAAGTTGCATACATAACTTAAAGTGAAGTGTTATGCTAGAGCTAATGCCTGTAGGACAGCCTTATGAAAGTCCAATTTTGATCTTGTACAGCTGTTTTTATAAAACAAAATTTTAAACTAAAGCTTAGCACATAGCATATACTATTCAGGAAAATCAAACTGTCAGCTGAAGAAAATGGCATACCTAATGCTTAGCATTAAACCTCAGTCTGTATAATAATCACTAAACTAGAAATGTGTCCATAGGACACGGATGCCCCCACAAGCCAATGTTCTGTCAATCTTATGACTCTAGGTCAAATATTTTTTGGACTACATGTGCCACAAGTTGAAAACTAAAAATCAACAAAGGGCCATAATTCTGTTAAATTTGGTCGCAGCAAAAATTCCTTCCTTACTACCATCTACACATTAAGGTTGTTACTCCCTGGAAGTTTAAGCAAAATCTGCCATCCGGTTTAAGAGGAGTTGCGTTCACAAAATTTCTACATGGTATATAATGATAAAATACAAAAATACAAAAGGGCCATAATTCTGTTAAATTTGGTTGCAGCAAATATTCCTTTCTGTACGACCATCTACACATAAAGGTTGTTCAACCCTGGAAGTTTAAGCAAAATCTGCCATCCGGTTTAAGAGGAGTTGCATTCACAAAATTTCTACATAGTATATAGTGAAAAAATCAACAAAGGGCCATAATTCTGTAAAATTTGGTCGCAGCAAAAATTCCTTCCTTTACTACCATCTACACATTAAGGTTGTTACTCCCTGGAAGTTTAAGCCAAATCTGCCATCCGGTTTAAGAGGAGTTGTGTTCACAAAATTTCTATTTAGTATATTGTGAAAAAATCAACAAAGGGCCATAATTCTGTTAAATTTGGTCACAGCAAAAACTCCTTCCTTTACTACCATCTACACATTAAGGTTGTTCATCCCTGTAAGTTTAAGCAAAATCTGCCATACGGTTTAAGAGGAGTTGCGTTCATAAAATTTCTACATAGTATCTAGTGAAAAAATCAACAAAGGGCCATAATTCTTTTAAAATTGGTCGCAGCGAAAATTCCTTCCTTTACTTCCATCTACACATTAAGGTTGTTCATCCCTGTAAGTTTAACCCATTACTTCATGAGCATTTTGTGAAAAATGGCTGTTTTCATTGAAAAGTCTCCCGTTACAAGTTCAAATTGCTATAATACTATAACAAGAGCTGTCAGTAGGACAGCACGCTGGACTATTCTAAGTGCTTGATAGTAAAAGAGCCTTGATAATGTTAAATTTTCTAAGTTCACCAAAGGGCTAATCTTTTTTTATAAATTCATGTTATAGGCCTTAGAGAGAGTCTAATTATACAGTATTGGCTTGACTATTTGGAAGGTAATGTCATTAGGGTGTTTTATTGAGTATAATAATACTAATTACCTATGAATACATAAATTTGACAGAAAAGGTACAAAGGCTTGTTATTAAGATGTTTTATCAAGTAAATCACTGCTTTATTATTATGAATGCATAAAATTGTCCCAAAAAAGGCACAAACCCTTCAGTAGTTATAGAGATAACAGCTTACAAGCAAAACTTTATCATGAATTTCTAAGTTGAAAAGGGGAAGAAAATCAGCCTAAATGCAAGATAGAATTATGGATCTTTGTCAGTGACCTACAATTCTGACCCTAAATGCATATGTGAAGTTTTAAATAAATATCTTTAATAGTTATTGAGATATGTAAAACTTGCATGTAAACAGTAACCAAGAGACTAAGTAGAAAAGGGGATATGAATCAGCCTTAATGCAAGATAGAGTTATCGAACTTGGTCAGTGACATACAATTATGACCCTCAAATTATGACCCTAAGTACATGTGTAAAGTTTCAAGTAAATATCTTTGAAGACCTTTAACCTTTAACCAAAATTTCTAAGTTTCAAAGGGGCAAATAATTCTGCAAATATTGCACAGAGTTATGCAATTTTGCAAAATGATGTACATTGTTACTATAAAAAAGTGTTGTAAATTTCAATTGAATATCTCAAGCAATAATTGAGATATTTGACTTTACAAAAAATATTTAACCAAAATTTCTAAGTTTCAAAGGGTCATAATTCTGTCAATATTGTAGGCAGAGTTATCCAACTTGTCAATCTGGTGTACCTTGTTACTATAAATAAGTATTGTAAGTTTCAATTGAATATCTCAAGCCATAATTGAGATATTTGACTTAATTACAAAACACTTTAACCAAAATTTCTAAGTTAAAAAGGGGCACAATTCTGTCAATATTGTAGGCAGAGTTATCCAACTTGTCAATCTGATGTACCTTATTACTATAAATAAGTATTGTAAGTTTCAATTGAATATCTCAAACAATAATTGAGATATTTGACTTTACAAAAAACTTTAACCAAAATTTCTAAGTTAAAAAGGGGCATAATTCTGTCAATATTGTAGGTAGAGTTATCCAACTTGTCCATCTGATGTACCTTGTTACTATAAATAAGTATTGTAAGTTTCAATTGAATATCTCAAGCAATAAATGAGATATTTGACTTTACAAAAAACTTTAACCAACGCAGACGCCGACGCTGACGCCGGGGCAACTACAATAGCTCTCATATTCTTCGAATAGTCGAGCTAAAAACTGCTTCAACACTAATCAAACTTGGCACAAATGTTGACTGGACCATTGCCCTTGCAACAACATGCTCAGGCTTAAATTTTATGTTACCATGGCAACGAGGGGACATCTCAAAATTGCCAAAAATCACTATTTTGCGTTGATTTTTTCCATCAAAATTGATTTCAAAGTGCTGCAACTTCTCAATGGCTTGAGATAGAGTCAAATGCTTTTCAGCGTTGGTTACATGTTACCTTATGATCAATCTGGGGTCATTTACAGCCTCTCACAAGTCCAAAATTTTCTTGGCGATGAGGGGGACTCCGTCCCCCTTCAGACCCCCCAAACAGAAGGGGGCACATCCCCCTTCTGGCAACCACCTGATGTATCTTTTGGTTGGGGGGCTGCGCCGAAAAAGAGGTTACTTTTTTTAACATTATTTCTCAAACAAAAACAAGTGTTTGCGGCCTAAATAAGGCATTTTTTCATCATTTGAGACAACAGAAAGGGGGGGGGGTGAAAAAGGCCTTAAAAGGCGTGTATATGAAGTAATGGGTTAAGCAAAATCTGCCAACCGGTTAAAGAGGAGTTGCGTTCACAAGATTTCGGGACGGACGGACGGACAAGAGCAACGCTATATGCTCCCACATTGTGGGGGCATAAAAATAAGCATAAAGCATAACCATCTAAAGCTTAGCATAACAACGTATCTTATTCTGAACAATAAACCTGTAAGCCAAAGTTTAGCATAATAACATACCTTATTCTTAACAATAAACCTGTCAGCCAAAGATTAGCATAATAACATATACCTTATTTTGAACAATAAACCTGTCAGCCAAAGTTTAGCATAATAACATACCTTATTCTGAACAATAAACCTGTCAGCCAAAGATTAGCATAATAACATATCTTATTGTACACAACAACCCTGTCAATAAAAGCTTAATATAAAAGCATATGTTATTTTAAAGACTCTAGCTAAGAAAATAGCACTTCACCTTTTTCGACTCTTTCTTTTTGCTCTTTATTTTGAACTCTTTCATAGTCCAGTCTAGGTTCCATAACCAGGGGTCTTTTTTATAGCTGAAAAAATATAATAAAAGTAACTAACATGACGGTTCTGTAGTATGATTATACAAGTGACTTCCTGTCATTAAATATTTTAAGATATTGTTGTAGAATTAATCATCATATTCTTTTTTTATTCCATGAAAAAACTTTCCCAGATAGCAGTGTTCTAATTCATGCTTTGATTCTTCTTACCATTTTTCATAAAATGTCCTGATAATTCTATTAATACCATCAACAATTGGTGTACTAACATAGACTTTTACACTTGAATGGATTTTGGTCAAGGTAATTGATTCTCCAAAGTCATGCTGATGGGCAGTACTAACATGCTGATGGGCAGGGTTAACATGCAGATGGGCAGGGTTAACATGCAGATGAGCAGTGGTGCAGATGGGCAGATATGACATTCATGAACGAAATAAGCATGAAGATGGGCAGAAATAACATGACATTACAAGCATATGGACAGACATAAGGAGCTGATTGGCAAAAGTAACTAAGCAAATGGGCTGATATTACAATTCATGCAGATGGGCAGAAATAACATGCAGATGGGCAGAAATAACTAAGCAAATGGGCTGATATTACAATTCATGCAGATGGGAAGACTTAATATGCAGATGGACAGAAATAACTAAGCAAATGGGCTGATATTACAATTCATGCAGATGGGCAGAGGTAATATGCAGACGGGGCAGAAATAACTAAACAAATGGGCCGATATTACAATTCATGCAGATGGGCAGAGGTAACATGCAGACAGGCAGAAATAACTAAGCAAATGGGCTGATATTATAATTCATGCAGATGGGAAGACTTAATATGCAGACGGGCAGAAATAACTAAGCAAATGGGTGGATATTACAATTCATGCAGATGGGCAAAAATAACATGCAGATGGGCAGAAATAACTAAGCAAATGGGCTGAATCTTATTACAATTCATGCAGATGGGCAGACTTAATATGCAGACGGGCAAAAAATAACAAAGCAAATGGGCTGATGTTACAATTCATGCAGATGGGCAGAAAAAACATGCAGATGGGTAGAAATAACTAAGCAAATGGGCTGATATTACAATTCATGCAGATGGGCAGAGGTAATATGCAGACAGGCAGAAATAACTAAGCAAATGGGCTGATATTAGAATTCATGCAGATGGGCAGAGGTAACATGCAGACGGGCAGAAATAACTAAGCAAATGGGCTGATATTACAATTCATGCAGATGGGCAGAGGTAACATGCAGACAGGCAGAAATAACTAAGCAAATGGGCTGATATTACAATTCATGCAGATGGGCAGAGGTAATATGCAGACAGGCAGAAATAACTAAGCAAATGGGCTGATATTACAATTCATGCAGATGGGCAGACTTAATATGAAGATGGGCAGAAATAACTAAGCAAATGGGCTGATATCACAATTCATGCAGATGGGCAGACTTAATATGCAGACGGACAGAAATAACTAAGCAAATGAGCTGATATTATAATAAATGCAGATGGGCAGAAAAAACATGCAGACAGGCAGAAATAACTAAGCAAATGGGCCGATATTACAATTCATGCAGATGGGCAGAGGTAACATGCAGACGGGCAGAAATAACTAAGCAAATGGGCTGATATTACAATTCATGCAGATGGGCAGACTTAATATGCAGACAGGCAGAAACAAGATATGTTTGTAAAACATGTATGCCCCCTATCAGCAGCCAATTAGTCATGTGATAAGGTTATTATGCATGACTTCTGACCCAGTGATCAAACAATTAATAAGGGTTATAAAGTATCTACTGGTCATGACCTTGACCTTTGACCCCTTGACCCAAAACTCAATAGGGGTCATCTGCTGGTCACGACCAATCATCAAACAAAGTTTGAAGTTCCTAGGCCTAGGCGTTTTAGTTAATTGATCAGAAACCGTTTTTACCTACAAGGTCAATGTGACCTTGACCTTTGACCCCTTGACCCCAAAATCAATAGGGGTCATCTGCTGGTCCCATGACCAATCACCATGCCAAGTTTGAAGTTTCTTAGGCCTAAGGGTTCTCTTATTATTGATCGGAAACCGTTTTTAACATACAAGGTCAATGTGACCTTGACCTTTGACCCCAAAATCAATAGGGTCATCTGCTGGTGATGACCAATCACCATGCCAAGTTTGAAGTTTCTAGGCCGAAGCGTTCTTAGTTATTGATCAGAAACCGTTTTTACTTACAAGGTCATTGTGACCTTGACCTTTGACCCCTTGATCCCAAAATCAATAGGAGTAATCTGCTGGTCATGACAAATCACCATACCAAGTTGAATTCCTAGGCCTAAGCGTTCTTGAATTATTGATCAGAAACCGTTTTTACTTAAAAGGTCAATGTGACCTTGACCTTTGACCCCTTCACCTAAAACTCAATAGGGGGTCATCTGCTGGTCATGACCAATCATCACACAAAGTTTGAAGTTCCTAGGCCTAAGCGTTTTTAGTTAATTGATCGGAAACCGTTTTTACCTACAAGGTCAATGTGACCTTGACCTTTGACCCCTTGACCCCAAAATCAATAGGTCATCTGCTGGTCATGACCAATCACCATACCAAGTTTGAAGTTCCTAGGCATAAGGGTTCTTAAGTTATTGATCGGAAAGCATTTTTACGTACAAGGTCAATGTGACCTTGCCCTTTAACCCCTTAACCCAAAAATCAATAGGGGTCATCTGCTGGTCATGACCAATCACCATACCAAGTTTGAAGTCCCTAGGCCTAAGGGTTCTTTAGTTATGATCGGAAACCGTTTTACCTAAGAGGTCAATGTGACCTTGACCTTTGACCCCTAGACCCAAAATCAATAGGGGTCATCTACTCATCATGACCAATCACCATCTCAAGTTTGAAGTCCCTAGGCCTTAAGGTTCTTTAGTTATTGATCGGAAACCGTTTTTGCTTTCAAGGAAACCTTTTTTAACTACAAGGTCAATGTGACCTTGACCTTTGACCCCCTTAACGCCAAAATCAATAGGGGTCATCTGATTGGTCATAACCAATCACCATACCAAGTTTGAAGTTCCTAGGCCTAAGGGTTCTTTTGTTATTGATCAGAAAACCGTTTTTAATTAAAAGGTGAATGTGACCTTGACCTTGACCCCTTGACCCCAAAATCTATACGGGTCATCTACTGATCATGACCAATCACCATACCAAGTTTGAAGTTCCTAGGCCTTAAGGTTCTTTAGTTATTGATCGGAAACCGTTTTTACCTACAAGGTCAATGTGACCTTGACCTTTGACCCCTTGACCTCAAAATCAATAGGGGTCATCTACTGATCATGACCAATCACCATACCAAGTTTGAAGTTTCCTAGGCCTAAGGTTCTTTCATTATTGATCAGAAACCGTTTTTTAATTAAAAGGTCAATGTGACCTTGACCTTTGACCCCTTGACCCCAAAATCTATACGGTCATCTACTGATCATGACCAATCACCATACCAAGTTTGAAGTTCCTAGGCCTTAAGGTTCTTTAGTTATTGATCGGGAAACCGTTTTTACCTACAAGGTCAATGTGACCTTGACCTTTGACCCCTTGACCCCAAAATAAATAGGGGTCATCTACTGATCATGACCAATCACCATACCAAGTTTGATGTTCCTAAGCCTTAAGGTTCTTTAGGTATTGATCGGAAACCGTTTTTACCTACAAGGTCAATGTGACCTTGACCTTTGACCCCTTGACCCAAAATCAATAGGGGGTCATCTACTGATCATGACCAATCACCATACCAAGTTTGAAGTTCCTAGGCCTTAAGGTTCTTTAGTTATTGATCAGAAACCGTTTTTTGCTTACAAGGTCAATGTGACCTTGACCTTTGACCCCTTGACCCCAAAATCAATAGGGTCATCTACTGATCATGACAAATCACCATACCAAGTTTGAAGTTCCTAGGCCTTAAGGTTCTTTAGTTATTGATCGGAAACCGTTTTTGCTTTTAAGGTCAATGTGACCTTGACCTTTGACCCCTTGACTCCAAAATCAATAGGGGTCATCTACTGGTCATGACCAATCACCATACCAAGTTTGAAGTTCCTAGGCCTTAAGGTTCTTTAGTTATCGATCGGAAACCGTTTTTGCTTTCAAGGTCAATGTGACCTTGACCTTTGACCCCTTGACCCCAAAATCAATAGGGGTCATCTACTGGTCATGACCAATCACCATACCAAGTTTGAAGTTCCTAGGCCTTAAGGTTCTTTAGTTATTGATCGGAAACCGTTTTTGCTTTCAAGGTCAATGTGACCTTGACCTTTGACCCTTAACCCAAAATCAATAGGGGTCATCTTACTGGTCATGACCAATCACCATACCAAGTTTGAAGTTCCTAGGCCTAAGGGTTCTTTAGTTATCACTCGGAAACCATTTGGTCTACGGACCGACAGACCGACGGACCGACAAGTGCAAGGCAATATACCCCCTTTTTTTCAAAATGGGGGCATAATAACTAAGCAAATGGGCTGATATTACAATTCATGCAAATTGGCAGATGTAACATGCACACGGGCAGAAATAACTAAGCAAATGGGCCGATATTACAATTCATGCAGATGGGCAGAGGTAACATGCACACGGGCAGAAATAACTAAGCAAATGGGCTGATATTATAATTCATGCAGATGGGCAGAGGTAATATGCAGACAGGCAGAAATAACTAAGCAAATGGGCTGATATTACAATTCATGCAGATGGGCAGAGGTAACATGCAGACGGGCAGAAATAACTAAGCAAATGGGCTGATATTACAATTCATGCAGATGGGCAGAGGTAATATGCAGACAGGCAGAAATAACTAAGCAAATGGGCTGATATTACAATTCATGCAGATGGGCAGACTTAATATCCAGACAGGCAGAAATAACTAAGCAAATGGGCTGATATTACAATTCATGCAAATTGGCAGATGTAACATGCACACGGGCAGAAATAACTAAGCAAATGGGCTGATATTATAATTCATGCAGATGGGCAGAGGTAATATGCAGACAGGCAGAAATAACTAAGCAAATGGGCTGATATTACAATTCATGCAGATGGGCAGACTTAATATGCAGCAGGCAGAAATAACTAAGCAAATGGGCTGATATTACAATAAATGCAGATGGGCAGAAAAAACATGCAGACGCCCAGAAATAACTAAGCAAATGGGCCGATATTACAATTCATGCAGATGGGCAGAGGTAACATGCAGACAGGCAGAAATAACTAAGCAAATGGGCTGATATTACAATTCATGCAGATGGGCAGACTTAATATGCAGACGGGCAGAAATAACTAAGCAAATGGGCTGATGTTACAATTTATGCAGATGGGCAGAAAAAACATGCAGATGGGTAGAAATAACTATGCAAATGGGCTGATATTACAATTCAT